CGTTTTGGCAGTGGCGCTGGCATGTACAAAGCAAGTCTAAAAGCTTATTCTGCGCCACGACGAATGAAGCAACATAGAGAAAACGGTTCTAAGTCCCTGCTTGGAGTATGCTTCGAACAGCAAGAAGCTGATGGGCTTTGTGTTTTGCATCTTAGGGCCCAGAAGGTGTGTGCTTCCAGGGGGTTGGCTGTTAATGTGGTACCTTCCAGTAGTGTCCCCCCCCCCGGCCTGCACCGACCATTGTGCCCAACATCCAAACCGCAGGTACCTGTCACTCAGACCCCGTTCATGTCCTGCCCAGGGGGCCTATCCAAAAGCTTACGAAACGATTTGGGGGTTTCCGAAAGTAGGGTACCCTAATCTAGTAATCTAGTCCCCTAATATTTGGATCCTTGTTATACGGACCCCTGATTTCGGTACCCCTATTTTTCGGAAGCTCCCATTTTGGGGTTTCGGGGGTTATCTGCCAGATGTTCCTAGCAGCAGAGTCCCTCGCCAGGCTCTGCTGCTCTGTGCCGAGCTCCCCGCCAGAGGTCTGCAGCCCAATGCGGTAACCGAGGAGCCTTCGAGACGGCTTCACGCCCGAGGATGTATTTCTGGGCTAGGAGTATGTATGTATGTATGTATGTATGTATGTATGTATATATATATTTTATGTAGGATCTCGCATCCCAGCCTGTGTGTGGAATATCCGTGTCTAACTACTAGAACAGACCTCCGCATTCCATCCTGAGCCGACGGGGGGCAGGTAAGGAAGGCATTGCTTCGGCCACATAGGGCTTCAGGCTGCGAACCCTCAGGGATTCTGTAAGGCTTTAAGGGATTTCTGTATGAGGTGTTCTACAAGAGTTACCAAAAAGGTCTCCGGACGGTTGCTTGAACAGCCGGAAGTGTCAGAGTTTGTGTGGGGCTTTTAGGGACCCCTACAGTAGTCATCACCCTTGAGGCTGATTTGTGCCGACATGCGCTTCAGCGAGCTGTTCTTCGCCTGCACGCTCGGGGTGTGCACTTTGGAGTTGTGAGGGTTTAAGTTAGGGTTCACGGTGTAGCACTACTCGCAGCCGGTAGCCTCCCATCTGCCTGAAGCCTCGAGTTCCAAGCGAACTTCACGCCCAAAACCCCGAGAAATAACCCTTAAATTCTGAGCCCCGAACCTCGAAGCCGAAACCCAAGACCCAAAACCCTAAATCCGAACCCTGGAAGTCCACAGCCCGAAGCCCTCAAACCCAAATTGCTCAAGCGTTCACCTTGGGATGTACATCCGCTTTACTGGTACCAACGAACAGAATTCGGACAACCCTAGGTGTGGCCGGAATCCCACACCGCAGCCTCAACGCGCTTGCCCTTCCCAGTATCATCACTGTCCGGCCCTATAGCTTGAATCAAGGAGCCCCGTCTGAACATCCAGCCCCCATTTCTCCGAAGCGCTCAGCTACAGTTTTGTAAGAACTTGAGAACTTGTTCTTCAGACTCGCAAGGCAGTGGAAAAGCGCTGTACGAAACCTTCAATGAGCCTTATACCTTATACCTGAAACGACACCCTAAAACCCCAAACCCGAATGAGAGCCCCAAACCATCAACTTCGCTTCCCAGGTGCCGGGAGCTGGCTGTTGGTCGTGGCTGCGAGTCTCCGGTCTGCATTTCTGCAGTTTGGAAGTTTGGGGATTCCTTTGAGAACAGTTGGCGAGCACGGGCTTATTCGGAGCTCGAGTATCAGCCGAAACATTTTATTGAATCGGGTTAAAGATCTAGGGTGAGGGGTTTCGGGACTACAGGGGCTGCATGCAGGGGTTTATGGGTTTGGGGTTTCGGATTCAGGGATTTTGTTTGTAGGGTTGTGGGTGTCTGGAAGGATCAGTTTGCTGACACGTTCAGTTCTCGGTGTCCGTGGAGGGAATGAGGCTGCTGTTACTGTGAAGAAGAAAATTGCCCGACAGTGATGTAAAACAAGATGAACTGGCGATGGCCCTGGGGGGACTAATTATGAAAAAGAGGGTGATGGCGAGGATGGCAGAGGTGAGGGTCAGGATCGATGAGGAAGAGGAGGAGGAGAGGGTTTGGACTGCGGTGATGCTGACGGATGTTTATGTTTTGTTTCGAAAATAACATCGATGCTGAGCACGACATTGTTGCTGATGACATGATTATTATGATGATGCTTCTAGATTGCGTAATGATGATGGCCATAACTTCGACGTTGCTTCTGCTGCCTGTGCTGGTGACTTTGCTGATGGAACTGCCGAATGTTGTGATGGCGATGATGATTGTGGTGATGATGCTAGCTGCAATGGCTATGGCGTGTTGATGGTGATCGTGACGGTGATGCTGACGAGCCAGATGCATCATCCACTTTAGAAAGCATCTGAGCTGACTAGCAGTCATCGCGAGGACTCTTAATGAAGTTTGGCGCCACCAGCGCTATGAACAGTAACCGTCTTGCGATTTGCGGCCCGTTGTTCAAAGTTTGGCGATGACCACGGCAGGCAATGTCCGTAAAATTGTTGCAGACATCTTGAACGTTTAGCTGCAGCAAATCTGCAAGAGCAAGTTACAAGGATGAGACAAGGAGCCGCAATCCCGAGTCAGCCCCAATCCCGTGAGTTGAATGAAACACCCGCCCGAACCCTAAACAGCTATTGAAGGGCTTTGATTAAATTAGGCTTAATCTGGGTCGAAAGAGATACGGACTTCCCAAACCGTAATCTCATGGCTTAGCATACCGAAATCTACTAGTGCAGTATAGTATATCATGTATTGTAGTCTAATGTAGTCTATCTTAGCAGAGTATATGTGCTATAGTCGGGTATACATTATCTTATCCCCCCCTCGGATTCATTTTCTCCCGGAGACTTCAGGATTCTTCTCCAGCCTGCGGCCTTTGCACGTGACGTGAGCTATGCAACCAAGACGGCGTTTTTGTTGAAGGGGTGTCGGGATGAGGATTCAAGGGGCCTTGGCTTAAGGGTGGTTCACGGGTTTTTAGGGAGTATATGGCCGAGGGCTTAGGGTTTAACTTCTTGAGGGGTGTTTCATAAAGATTCGCCACATACAGCCTGCCGTTTACCGCACATAGGCGTGTCCGCGCCCCCGGCGCGACCCCAACCCCAACAGACACAGGCCCTGTCGGCTGCACACCGCGCAAGGCCCCTGTCCAGCGTGTCAGCCCCCAACATTCGCTTGTCGCAGCTCCCCCCAAATATCCCGAAACCCTAAACTCTGATAGTATGAAGTCCTGTAAGATCCCTACAAAACTTTTAGAGGCAAGCTGGCAGTCCTTCGTGGAGTGCCGAGCTCTGGAGAACCAGGTGCGCAGAGGGCTGGGTGCAGTGGCTTAAGGCTTTAACATCATAGCATATATATATATATATATATATATATGTACGTAGCAAACTACAGTATAGAATAGTGGTGTTATAAAATGTAGTATATTTCGATATGTTATTGTGGTAAGTTATATAGTATCTCTAGCACAGCAAAGTATTGGAGCCTAGGGCCCTCAGCCGCTTACATTAGTGGGATCACTGTGGCACTAGTTAAGTGTGCAAGGCGGCCGCCCACCAAAACCCCTGAATGCATCCGAAACCCCGAGCTTCAAATCCCAATCCTTAAAACCCTCTAATACCTAAGTGGGCCCAAAACCTAAAGCCCCCCGTCGCTGTTTTGAACCTGGACCAATTCTACCCAAAAAGAATCGCACATGGAAGCCTTACGCTGGGCAGGCCTGCGCCGCCGTGGACGATATCAGACCAGTGATGCAAGAGCAAAAAGGTTGGTAAGGACTACTTTTATATGCTGACGTCGATATGCCCTACAAAGCAATGTGCCTCTAATCTCTAATTATCCATTATCATCCGAAGCAGCGGATCACTTCGCGAGCCGGCAGCAGCAAAAGGTCGTCGCAGTTGACAGGTCCAACAGAAAGTTGTATCGGCCCGCCCTGGATATTTCGACTAGAACAACATGCCATCATGTACTAGGGTCCTTAATTCGCGGCTCGTGATGAAAGGGTTCCTAATGAGGTGCCTGGACCCTTGTACATTCGAACGGTTTACAGCTTTACATAGGTCTCCGGTAGAATGAAAGGGTTTAGGGTTTCGGGTTTGCCATGCTTCTTCACAGCTTGCCCCGCAAATCCATGTTTTCAAGCACTGAAGCCCTACACCGGTTAAACCGACATGGTCATACAGAACCGAGATACAGACCCCAAATCCTAAACCCTAAGCACTTGTTAACACACTTATCTAAAGCCACAATAGTGTTCTTTTCTTATTTTCTGAGGTTCGCGGCCCCCCGGGTCTTAGCGCCTGCGGCGGCCGTGGCTGTCCTGGCCGGCAACTCCCCAGCATTTCATGATGGTTTCAAGTGCGGTTTGGGCACCTCGGATCCACCAATGTCTTAGATCCCCAATACCCAACCTTTAAACTTTTTGGGTTCCCATAAGTTAGTAGGAATCGGTGAGAATGATCTGCGCGACGTGTTTGTCGGTTGGTGCGACGAGAATGGCCATAGACTCCAAAACCCCGCAGTAAAGCCCTTTGGCCCAAAACCTCTAAACCCTGAACGTCTAACCCTCAAACCCTAAACCATTAAACCATTACCTATAGTCTCTATATTGTAGTTCCTTTTCTTGGTTCACCAAAATATCTTATTTAGGATCCTAACCCTAACGCTGGTTAACCAAAACAAGGAGCTACAATGGAGGCCCTAGGTAGGCTCTAAACCACCCAAGCCCTAAGACCCCAAAGCCTTGAACCTCAAGAGGGTCCGTGTGCCCAAATGGGAGTTTCCGAAAGTAGGGGACCCCGATATAGCACCCTAAATAGTAGGATCCTTGTTATAAGGACCCTAAAATCAGGTACCCCTAATTTTCGGAAACCCCCAAAGAGTATGTAGTATATACTTTGGCTCTATGGTACTTGTATAGTTGTAGAGCACAACCTTAAGGCCAATTATATAATATTTGGAGACGTGGACCCTTAGGGTAGTTTTCGCCGATCCAGGTCGGGGATTCGTCCGGCGGCGGAATCACCAGCGGCCAACGCGCAGGCGCAGCTTTTGGAGGGTTTAGGGTTTTTGCGGTTTACAGGTTTCAGGTTTCGGGGTTTGGGATTTATTTAGGGTGTAGGGTCTAGGGTTTAGGGTTTAGGGTAGAGGTATGGGGATTCACTCATAAGGGATTTCAGTTTCTACCTTGTTTGAGATAGGCGCCAGCGTGCTTTGTCTTAAGTGTTTCGGTTTGGAGGAGTATCCCAGATGCCAACACCCGACAACACGGAAGCACTGCCACGAAAAGCACATTGTAGCCTACGAGCCCCGGTGGCCCTGCAGACATACTAGACAATGGCCCCTCATGTAATAAACCATCTTAGTAGCTGAGTGGATACACTTCACACGTTATTGGACACAATTACCCACTATAGAACTGAAAGTGTACAATTTTGGGGGCTTATGAACTCAGCAACTAAGCCACCGTGCAGGGTTTAGGGTCCACCTTTGCGCCAAAACCCTGGGTCCAAGTGACCATTTGTTCGGTGCTTAGGCTTAGGATTTAGGATCTGCACCGCTTCGGGTTCGTACCTGGAGGGTAATGTAGGAACCTGATTAAGAAACCTTGGGCCTTTATTGGGGTTCCTTCTATGATCCCTACTATTTTGGGGAGTATAGGCCCAGGGTTTCTTAATCAGGTTCCTACATTATAACCTGAAGAACATGCTCCTGACTGGACTACGTACAGTGTAGGGTTTATGATTCCGGGGCTTTGCCTCCAATCCCGCCGCCCTAAGACCGGAAACCTATACGCGACCCTGCTGCAGACCGTACATACTAGGATCTAATAGTAAACCCTAAATCCCTAAACCCTAAACTCCCTGAGCTCCCTAAACCCTATGGCCCTATACGCTCAACCCTAGGGTTCCGTTTAAAAGACGGCGTTAAAGCCCCTATACCAAAAAAACCGCCGGCGGCGCTCGCAGCCGAAGCCCAAAACGAGGCGAGCTTGGTTTGGCAAGAGCAACCAGGAGAAGTTTGAGAGTTCCTTGGGTTGAGCATGTTTTTTAAGGTCCAGGGTGTCATGCATGTCTATAATCATGAAATAAAACAGATATAGGGTGATGGTTATGGCTACTGTTGTTCTTTCTTTGATTCATATTATTAACAGGTCCGTTCGTTTGCTCGTTCATTAGTTTGTTCCTTGGTCCATTCATTCATTCATTCATTCATTCATTCATTCATTCGTTCATTCATGCATGCGTGCATGTATTCATTCATATCCAGTCATTCGTTCTTTCACTGACTCATTCATTCATTCATTCACTCACCTACTCACCCACTCAGTGAGTCACTCAGTCACTGCATTCATTAATTCATTCATTCGTTTGTTCATTCGTTCATTAACCAACTATTTTATTCATTCGTTCGAGCCTTAGTTCATTCATTCCCTCATTAACTCGTTGTTTCATGCGTTCAGTCATGAGTTTATGCATTCACTTAATCATTCGGATGTTCATATATGTATATGTGTATATCACTGTATATACACAGGTACATACACACACGCTTGCATACATACATGTGTTAGCATATGTATGCATGTATGTATGTATGTATGTATGTGTGTGTATGTATGTACGTATGTGTGCATGTGTATATGCATATGTATATGGGTTCCAGTATATATATATATATATATATATATATATATGTGTACATTAATTTTGTATGTATATGTGTATGTGTACGTGTATGGGTTTGTCAGGTAGACGTACATGTATATGTTTTTGTGTCTGTATAAGCGTGTGTATGTGCATATATAATATGTGCGTTCACATATACACCGTTTAACATACTTGTATATATATACATATACACACATACTTTTCATGTGAAAAGGATGTAAACATGTTGCTCTTGTTTGTAAATATAAATGTACACACACACACACAGAGACATACCAGACTGTGTTGCTTTAGAGTGGTTTGGGGATGTCGGGTTTATGGGACCGTTGCGATTCGGCGTTTAATGGTGTACGGCTTCTGGTGTTCTTTCTCCGGATTTCAGACGTACGGTGAGCCATGGCAAGGGTCTGGGTTTGTTAAGATCCTCTCAATCTCTTATCTGCATTGACTTTCAGACCCCCCCCCCCCCCCCCCCCCCCCCCACCCACCCACATTTATAGCTTAATTCCTGGAAATACAATGATTGGATTTCTCAGGTTCCGAGTACCCCTAAACCCTAAACCACAGCGTATAGGCTTTCCTGTGCAGTATGTCCACTTTTGAAAAGGTTCTGCACGCATCACGGAGAACAAAACTTAACACTCATGTGTGAAGCAGGCTGAGGGTCTGAGTGCAGTTCCTGCCACATCCTTTCATTTGTTTCTGGGCAGTTCTTGGTGTTACCTGATGCCCTAAACCCTATAAACCCTAAGAATTAACCCTAAACCCGTGTTCCTACAAGTCAGGAGTCTGGAAGCAACGAGAATGACGGTCAAAGAGATTTAGTTCAGGCTTTAGTTTTCATGGTTGAAGTTTTTAGGATGTAGGGTTTAGGGTTTAGGGGGGGTTTAGGGTTTAGGGTTTAGGGTTTAGGGTTTAGGGTTTAGGGTTTAGGGTTTAGGGTTTAGGGTTTAGGGGGGGGGTTAAGGCAAAATTGTGTGGATGAGTAGCGAGGTATGAAGGCAGAGAGAGCGCTTGCAAACCTTTTGTTGGCTGCCTGCGGGAATGCCACGCGAAATTAACATAGCTTGAACGAAAACAGCGACGGCCCTGTTCGACCTCGCGTTGAAGCCCTGAATTCCGAGAACCTCTTCGAAGGCCCCCCAGAAAACCCGGCGGAAAATCCAGAATTTGCCAGAGACGGTGAATACTTGGACCCCCAAAATAAGTATGTAGAATAAAAGCCTTTTATTATAAGTTTTTGGCCATTATTTTACATACTTTTGGGGGTCTAGGTATCTATGTGGGCAACACCATTGTGCTATGTCTCATCCCTCCTGACAAGAGCCGTCCCAAAGCCGCGGATTTAGCAGTCCCACTGGATTCCAACATTCTTTGCTGCATCGTGGACCATATGCGGGCCAATGTTGCTGCTTTGGAAGCCCACATGGAGTCAGGGCCCAAGAGGAAGAGGGCCAAAAAGAGCACTAGACCCCCTTAACTACCTTCTAATATACCCTCAATACCCAGTATTAAAGGGCTCTAAGGGCGGTCCTGGTAAAGCCTGATACGTCAACGCTGCCTAAACCCTAAACCCTGAACCCTAAGCCCGAAACCGTAAACCCTAAACCCCAAACCCTAAACCCTAAACCCTAAAAGCCCCAAAAGCCGGCATCCTCAGGCTACGTAGAGCAGTGCTCCTCGTACACGGCGCGCGCAGCTTGACAGATCTCCCAGGGCTGCCATGTTTGTTTTGTTGTTTTTCTGAAGGGCTTCGCGCAGCTTGGACCAGGGTCTTATACCCTAAGGGTCCATGTACTCATATAGTACATACGTCGGCCTTAAAGTACTCCCTATATAGGTACATCGGGCCCAAAGTATATGCTGTAAGGGTACATGGACTCTTATGGATAGTCTTCTAGAAGGATGTAGGGATAAGGCATTCGGGTTTAGAGTTTCGGGTATAGGGCCAAGTTTAGGGCTCGGAGGAGAATTGAGGGTTGAGGGTTTGGATTCCAGAAGCGGTCTAGCATAGGGTGCATCGTACTTCGCCCGCCAAAGGGAATGCGGAATGGTTAACCTGTTCGGGCGTCTGCATTTGTTGTATAGATGGAAGTTGACCCAAAGGGTCCAAGTACTCCCTATTGTAGGACTTTAAGGCCTTATTAGGTACCAAAAACCATAAATAGGGACTACTTGCACCCTTTGGGTGAGTCTTTATGCCATAGCATCCTCTATCGCCGGAGTGTCTGGCGGCTGCGTGCCCCTTCCGTGACCCGACTTTGTAAGGTCCGAGTGCCCACCAGAAGCCATCCAAAGGTATAGTGAAGAGGTATAGGGGACCTGAACCCTGAACCCCAAATCCCAAAGCCTAAACCGTGACCCCTCACCCCAAACACCCTAGTAGTAGAGTAGGAAACCTCTAACCTTTTTTGGGTAGTATAGCCCCTGTATAATCCCTATATAACCAAAAGGTTGACCGTTAGTTCGCATGATACCCGCCTCTCTTTTCGTTTTTGGTCCGAGGCAGTACGCTCAACACCCTTTCGATTTTGAATCAGCTCCCTTGTAGACGATCTACAGTCGAGTGGAGACCCTGCTACACAAGAGAGAGGGAGTGGGCGGAGACAAGTAGGACAGAGGTCTGTTTTGGGACTTGTCGCCTGTCGTGCCGAACCTTACACTCGCGAACTCTCAGACCAAAAGGCCGTTGCAGGTAGGATCCAAAGTACTTCAAATTTCCGCGCCCTCAGGCTCCACGTAAGCCTTAAGCAGGCTCTAAGCGGGCCGTATTTTGTATATTGCGTTTAAGGCTTATAAGGCCTCGGGGACAGAACAGCGAAGTACTGCGAGATTAGTTGTCGTGGTTTCGGATAGTTCCAGTGATTCTAGTGTGAGTAGTTAGTGCCTAAAGTAACGTAGGGTTAGTTCCGACAAAGCTAACTATACGTACAATTACTTTAAACTCCACTTAAGGTACTTATAACCTTACTTGCTAAGCCCCCGAACCCAGTCCTCCAAGTGTGTTCCCAGACCCAACCCCACATAGCACTACCCATAAAGCTCCAAGTACAGGATCTGGCCTGCTTGAAGCCCCGTTGGCGGACGCTTCTAACTGGGAGCCTTTGGCAAGAATTTGCAAACATGTCAGCAGGGCTCAAAGAGTTTAGGGTTTAGGGTGTTGTTAAAGGGCCAATGTCGGAGTACTTGCAGGTTGCCTTTTTGTATATACAACCTTAGAACTTACTATTTTCGATGATCTTTTCAGTACCACACAATGCCAGTCTGATATAGTGTTTCTACTACTCCAGGTTCCAGGGCATCTCAGGATGTGTAAGAGCGCTGTGCTTTCGGATCGCATTTGTCCGGTGTTGGTCTGGTCCAAGTTTGTTCGAGCCGAGGGTTTAGGGGTTTATGGTATAGGGCTTAGGGTTTAGGATTTAGGTTCCTTCGTAGTACTATTTTGCACTTGTTATGCTAGGGTCCTCCTTATTAATGCTGGCAAAAGGGGCACCCTTATCATTAAGGGGCTACTTAGGAACTTACCGTAGGGTTTAGGGTTCAATCTCTGTCTGTCATTGAACTCAGATTGATCACACCTGAGCCTAGAGGCGACAATACGCAACAACGCATGAATAGATCTTAAGTAGTCCCTCGATCAACCAGCCTCCGAACAACACGCACGAACACAGCAAAAATGGTAAGCAGTACACAAACATGAGTTAAACAGCAGAGAACGGAAGAAGCCAATCATTAGGGTTCCGTTTACAGTCCGCTTGGGGTTTCTGTAAGGAGTCGATAAAGGCTGTAGCTCTAACCGGAAAGGCTAAACCCTAAACCCCAATCGTTCGGATGCCTTCTAGGGTCCGTTGCGGGGTTTTTAAACCTAAAGCCTATTCGGGTTCATTCTAGGGCCCCTTTCAGGGTTCATAAAGGCTGGAACCCTGAGCAGGACGCCCTAAACCCTATACCCCTAAACCCTAAACTCCGTGCTCCTTCTAGGGTCCTTTACCGGAGTTTAGCAAGGCTGTAACTTTAAACCATAAGCCGGGGGAACCCTAAACTCCACTCTTGGGGTTCTATAACAGCTGGAACCCCAGCCCGTTGAGCTCTAAAGCAGCAAAAACCCTAAACCCTGAACGGTTTAGGGTTTACCCTAAACCCTACCCGAACCCTACAAAACCTTCCTTTATATAGGTCCTTTGAAAGGTAGCTTGTTTAACTATTTGGGGTCCAGGTACACCCTACTTGGAGGGTCGGGGGACTTGGTAAGTGGTTAATACGTAGACATATACGTATTCTAAAAGGGATCCTAATTGGGGTTATGATATTGATAAGTCTACAAAAGAACTACTTCTTAAGTCCCCCGACCCTCCAAGCACCCTAAACCCTAAACCCCTAAACCCTAAGCCCTCAACCCTAAGCCCCTAAACCCCTAAACCCCAAAGCCCCTAAACCCCTAAGCCCCTAAACCCCTAAGCCCCTAAACCCCCAAACCCCTAAGCCCCTAAACCCGTAAACCCTGAACCCCTAAACCCGTAAGCCCCTAAACCCCCTACACCCGTAAACCCCTAAACCCCTAAACCCAAAGCCCTAAACCCTAAACGGGCGTTTAAAGGAATCCCTATAGCCCTAAACCGCAAACTCCGATGGCAAGAACTAGGATCCAAGCCGGTCTTCAGATGCCCGCCTTGGTGGAGGCGGTGAAAATCCTCTACGCCCCTTCGCCGCACAGAACACCTGGGTGGTTGTCAAAATTAGGGCCCCTTTTGGGGGTACCCTAATTATTATGAGGTGCCGTATTATATTAGGGACCCAAAAAGGGACCCTAATTTCGACAACCACCCACCTTTCTTTGCGTGGCATTCTTCTGGTTGGCTCTTTGGACTTTAACTTTTAGGGTTTCTATATGAACCCTAAAAAGCAGGCAGAAAGTGTAACTGTTAGGAGGAGTTCAGAAGGCAGCCAAGTTTAGAGGTTTTAAGGCTTCAGGGTTCATTTAGAATACGAGTTTGGGGATTTTGGTTGGGGTGACGGGTGGTTTTGGCTGACGCGCACCTTAATGACCACGGGGTTTTGGCAGGTTCTTGTTGTTGTAAGGCTTCCCTGGTTTGGGGGATTGGGGTGGGGTGGGGGTGTAATGACGTCCACTGCGCCACCATCCCAATGAACATCATCACTATGCAGGCCAGCATCCATCATCATCGTGCTTCGACACACAAAACCCTGAAAATAACAGTATTTTCACATCATCAACACGTGCATCATCATCATCACCATCATAATCAAAGACTTTTCTGTGTTTTCCGTCTGTCGACGAACGCTCGTCGGTTGGCAGACGCCAAGAACAACAAGAAATGTGAGAAAAAGAGGCCGGCCGAATAATTCGCGTTCAGAAGTTTTCAATTCTCCCACTTCGGCGCACACAACCCTGGCAAAAACTGTACTTTGAAAGCATTCGAAACAAACCTTTTGGTCAACAAAGTCCCCACATTTGCTGCATTTTTGCAAATCTTACTTACACACCCACGGACCGTGCCAAACCCCATGGTCATTGAGGCGCGCATTACCTGGTTTTGATATGTATTGCTGTGTTTTTAGAGTCTAGGTAGATTTTCGTTCCAAAAGGTTGCATACATGTTTTGTGCTGGTTGTTGTTTGGGGTTTAGGTTTGTGTTAAAGGTGTTCATGGCTTTTTGTTAGTACGGGCTTTGGGTTTATTATTGTTTTGACTTCTTTCAGTAGTTCTGGTTTAGGGGCTTTAGACCTACTGTCGAACCTCTGTTCCCACAGCAGTGATGGTGGTCCTGCGTTCCCGGTCCACGTTGGTACATATTTCGTGTCAGGTGCGGGTATCTTTCGTCGTGCGAAAGTTCATCGTGGCTTCATTCGGTTTCAGGAGGGTTGTCGAAGTGCCTCGGTTTAAGATGTTCATATTTTATGGGCTCACGGTCTCTGATGAAGGGTTCTGCAATTAGGGGTGTGGGTTTGAGGTTGGAAATTGAGGTGGAGGGGTTTGGCACTGTCGGGATATACGATTTTATTTTGCAGGGTTCCGGATACATGCAAAACGCGGGACTTGATGGGTACCTGACAGCTATAGGGGAAGTACTGCATGCCACTACCGTGACTCCAAACCCGAGATCCTAAACCCCTGACCCCTTAGATAACACGTTAAGGAATATCCAAAAACCCCTGTAGAAGCCAACAAAAACTCCGAAGACCCTACAGACCTTGCAAAGGGGAAGTCTGGTAGCAAGCCCTAAACCAACCACACACCTTAAACCAACCATAAACCCTGAACCCTAACCCTAAAACCCTCAGCCGAAATCCGAAACCAACCATAGGCCCAACACCAACCCTGAACCATAAGTCCTAAATCCTAACCAGCCCTATAGTAGAAGCCAGAAAGTTGGAACATGGATTTAGGATGAATCGTGCTGGGATCCGCATGAGGATAATGATGTTCCAACTTTCTTGCTTCTACTGTAAAGCCCCGAGGATGACATACTCCCACTTCGCTTGGGTGCGGACTTGGTGTCGCGGCAGCTGAACCGAGCCGTGACGGAGGCTTGGGCTACCGTGTCCCGGAAGCTCCATGTGCCTATGCGATATGTACTGAAGCCTTGAGGAACGTATATATCACCTTCTAGGACGCCCAGTAGTACCCTTATTCCCTTTTTGCAGTCCTAGGTTCCTTATACAGGTACCCAATTCCAAAACGGGAGCCCTTTGTATTCCTAGGTTACTGGGCATCCTAGTATCTATGTACTGTATATATACATAGAGCTTCATAGGGTGTATCATAATTACAAACGTAGGGTTGGGGTTTAGGGTTAAGTTTACATGGAGGGTCGGGGGACTTAGTAAGTAGGTAGTAAGTAGACGTATAAGTACCCTAAAAGGGACCCTAATTTGGGTTATGGTTATTATAAGTCTATAGAAGAACTACTTACTAAGTCCCCCGACCCTCCAAGTAGGGTTTAGACTCATATCTGCATGCTCTCTTGGGCCCAAAGACCATACTGCATAAGGCTTCTGGGCTATTTTGAGCACTGTTTTTACACTAGGGTTTGCGGTTGAAGGTTTAGGGGTTTGCGGTTTACGGTCACCTTTGATTGACAAGCCACGTACTCCAGCCCTACTGAAGCCTTTAACCTGGAGCCTTCAAAGCCTGACTCACCTCGGATTTAGGGTCTTGAGCCTCAGACCGTACATGGGGGTTTCCGAAAATAGGGGCACCTTATTTGGGGGTCCTTAGCATAAGGATCCTACTATTTGGGGTGCTATATTTGGGTCCCTCATTTTCGCAAAAACTGCCGCATGGGGTGTCCTGGAAAAGATCTGCACACCTTCCCCCCCTTCCATCCCCCTCACCAACTGGTTGTTGGTTTCAGGGCGCGATAAGGCCTGGGTGCATGTTCCAGGTTCTACGAGTCCTTTTCGTCAGCAAGTTGGATGGTTAGGACTGGATCTTACACAAGGCAACATGGCAACCCACACAAGGACGATGCTCTGCCCTCAACCCGAATCCATGAAACCCCAAAGCCCTAAACCACCAAATCCCTACAGCCCTAAAGCCTGAAAGCCCTAAAGCGCTAGAGCAGCCATGAAGCACCAAAGCCTTGAAAACCTAAAAGCCCTAGGCCCTAAGCCATAAAGCCCTAAAGCCCTATGCACTGACAAGATGCATGGCAGGCCCGCGATCGAATTCGAAGCGATATTCCTGATGGCTGCACGGCCGCACACACACAGAGGGTTTAGGGATTCTTGGGGGTTGAGGGGATTATGTTTCTTTAGGTTTAGGGGTTTGGGGTTTGGGGATTTTTACAATCTAAGTATTAAGACCCGTATGTTAGTTGCACAGGGCTTGTATCCCTTGCGCAGTGCAGTGAAGAAGAAGCTCCCTCAAAAGTCGTTCTAGGGCTTCGGGCTTAGGGTTTTAGGGTTTAGGTGTTTAGGGGTTTAGGGTGTAGGGACCCGGCCCATATTGCAGGCCCCTTTATCTTGAACGTCGGGTTTAATTAGGGTTTTAGGGTTTAGGTGTTTAGGGTTTAGGGACCCTGTCCATATTGCAGGCCCCTTTAGTTTGGAAGGCCAACAAATAGCAGATCTGCTGGGGTGTGTTGCCGGATTCCTGAAGAACCAGATGACCATTGGAAAGTATGGGGCCTTTCATTTTGCAGCAAGCCCCGAGTGAGGTGTCCCTAAGGGTCCAAAGGACCCAATAATTAGGTACTCAGGTTTAGGATAGTAGCTATGTAGGGTACTGTTTGGGAGAGTATATGATAATTCGGTACTTGGACCCTTAGGGTATTGATTCATAAGCACTTGTGGACCTCGTGTGGTGCTTAAGGTTTGGGGGTCGCGCTGGTCCCACTGATAGTGATGGGCGAAGGTCAGCATCTCTACTTGGCGTTCTTCTGGTTGGCTCTTAGGACTTTTACTTTTTGGGTTTCTATATGAACCATAATAAGGAGGCTAAAAGTTTAACTTTCAGGGGGGGTTCAGAAGTCAGCCAAGTCTAACAAGAGCACCCGAACCAAAGCTATCCTAGAGCCAGGACTACACGGCCCCACAGCACTTGCTATGTTCCATTTCTGGGTGATGGTTTCGTATACCGGGACCTCCAAGACTAATCTTCTTTGCCGACTACTTTTGTACAAGTGGAGTAGAGTAAACCTGGAACCAATGCCGCTGGGAATTGGTATTCTGGGTCTGTGGAACGTCAGAGCACTGAACCCGTCAACCCCGAACCCTAAACACTGATCTACAGCATACACCACGGCGGCGGGGTTTGAGACCCAGCCTTCAAGCCCAAACAGCCCATGTGAAACCCCAAAACATGCTTAACATGTTCTGTAAGAGCAACTTGGAGAGTCGGGGACTTACTACGCATGTAGCCTGAAATGACCATCATTGACATTGCCCCGACCCTGCATGCAAGCCTAAACCCTAAACCCTAAACCGTTTCCCACCTTGGGAACAGGCCCCGCCATCACTGCAAGTGCCTCCAAGCGTACTACCGGATCTTTGGTCCAGCCCGGAAATGAATAATGCAGAACCCAGAACTTAGGGTTTAGGGGTTTAGGGTTTAGGGTTTAGAGACTTAGAGGGATTGGTAGACTGAGAAGTACCTTAGAAGAAATCCTAACTTGGGTTCTGATACTTATAAGTCTATATAATCACCACTTACTAAGTGCTCCGACCCTCCAAGTAGCCCCCTCAACCCTTCAACCCCCAAACCCTACAACCTAGGACCCTAACCCCAAGGGTCCAAGTACCCAATAGTCATATACTAACCGAAATCCTAACCTACATAACTACTATCCTAACACCGAGTATCTGATTATTGGGTCCTTTGGACTCTTGGGGTAAGGCCTAGGTCTGGGTTGTCCACTGACGAACAGCTCCTAGGCGACGTGGTCGCCCATCGGCAGCTCTTCGATTCGATGGACTTCGACAAGACCGGCACGCTGAAGAAATGGGACCCCGGCGCTTAGCGGTTAAGGCTCAGGGCGTAGAGTCTTCAAAGGGTAGAAGGAGGAACCCTCAATAAGGACCACTAGGTATAGAATCTTAATATAGCTATTATATACCCATTATATGGTCCATTATAGGGTAGGGGTCCCATTACAGGTCCCTCCTTTTGCCCTTGGAAGTCTATAGGATTGAGGGCTTACGGCTGAACATGTATAGGTTATAGGGTTTAGAGTTTAGAGTCGACAGGTTTTGGGTTTTGGACTTTGCGGTTTCGGGTTTTGGCTGCTGAGCTTTGGGCAGCACGTCAAACTCAATCGTACATGTCCAGAGTGCTCCTTCTCTTGAAACCCAAAGCCCGTAATCTCTAAACCCCAAGCCTTGAACCCCTAAGCCTAAACCCCAGGCCGTAAACCCTATACCCCAAACCCTGAACGCTAAATGCTAGACGCAAGACTCCTAAACCTTAAACTCGTAAAATCTAGACACTGAACCCCCAATCCCTAAATCCTTTGCGCGCAGGAAGTAGAGAAGATCACCTCTCACGTGGGACTGCTGAGCAGCTGGTGCTTCATTCATACTCTATAATAAGGTCCCAAGGGTTTAGGGTTTAGGGGTTTAGGGTTTAGGGTTTAGGGTCCATGTATGCGTATGAGTATTCTTAAACCCTAAAGTACCTATATAGGGATACTTTGAAGCCAAAGTACATAAAATTTGGGTACATGGACCCTTAAACCCTAAACCCCTATAGAACTCTTAAAGGAGCCCTTAAAGGAACCCGATGGGGTACATGGTTAAGGGTTCTTTGAAGCCAAAGTACATAATGTTTGGGTACATGGGCCCTTACTTGGAGGGTCGCGGGACTTCGTATTTACATATTTTAAGGACTGATAAGTATCATATTCCCAATAAAGATCCCTTTTCGAGTACTTATTACTCTACTTACTACCTACTTACTAAGTCTCCCTAGACCCTAAACCCAAAAGCCCTAAACCCTAAGGGCACCCTTAAAGGAAGCCTTTAAAGCTAAGTCCCCCGACCCTCCAAGTAGGGAGGGGGACCCTGAGGACTCCTCTCAGGCTTCCTCTGCTTGGCGTTCTTCTGGTTGGCTCTTAGGACTTTAACTTTTTGGTGTTTCTATATGAACCATAATAAGGCAGCTCAAAGTTTAGCTTTTAGGAGGGGTTCAGAAGTCAGCCAAGTTTAGAGGTTCCTTTCAAAGGACCAATTTTTGAGCTTCACAAGGACATTTCGTGAGGAAATGTCTTCTGCTGGTTTGCTGGTGGCATGAAACCCGAGCCCAGATCCCGACAAAAACGAGCCCTAAACCTTAAATCATAAACTAGCAATTGATATTGGAGGAGCTAAGGAGCCATGGATGATGATAATCCCTTCTAAAAAAGGAGCCAAAGGGCCCAGGGAGCCCCCAAACCGCTGGTTAGTAAAACTCTGAGTTAACGTTTAAAAACGAACCCTGAACCTTAAACCTTAAATCCCAAAACCCTGAACATGGGAAACCTTCGTGCTTGTGGCCTGAGGTGAGACAGGCCAGGAGGCCCACGACTCCATCACCGATAGACTCATCCAGCTTCTCGGCTTGCTTAAAGGCTCATGGGACTTAGTAACTAGGGTTATAATTAGGGTAACTATACGTATAATTGCATATAACCCCAATTAGGGTACTTATAACCCTACTTACTAAGTCCCATGACCCTTTAAGTGGTGTTTCAAGAGCCAATAAAAGCACTTCGGAGCAGCAAAGCAGGGGTTCGGATCAGGGGGCGGGATAGGGACCTAAGACAGGGCAGCCGGGTTCGGGAGCCGACGGGGTAAAAGGGGACTGGACGTGTTGGGTTGCTATGCTTGGGTTTGGGCCTGGACGTTGAAGAAGAGTGTGTGTGGGAAGTTGGCTTTATTGTTTCCAAGGTTAAAAGGAGGGACCCTTAATAAGGACCCCTAGGTACATACCCTTAATATAGCTATTATATAACCCTTATATAGCCCATTACAGGGTGGGGGTCCCCAATAAGGGTCCCTCCTTTTCCCTTTTGATTGTTGGAGGTCTAGGTTCGTCAGGATTCGAGTTCCTTGGACTTCTACTTGACGGCATCAGCAACACTACCAAAGGCTCCAAGTATCATTATGGTATATACTTGGGTAGTTGTCAAAATTATGGCCCCTGTTTGGGTACCCTAAATATTAGGTGCCGTATTATAATAAGGACCCAAAAAGGGACCATGCTTTTGACAACCACCCACTTATAGGGTATTTTGGGGGTCTAAGTATACACCATAATGATACTTGGATCCTTTGGGACTACCACGATGACGATGACGACGGGTTTGATGGTGGCAATAGCGACGACGCCATTGCTACGACCCTGATGGCGACACTCATGGCAGCGGTGCCGACAATGTATCCTTGATAATACTGGGATGTCTGAACCTCAAACATCAAAGACATGTTACCGTCACGCAGTTCACTGCTCTGCATGTGCAGCTACGTCAGCGGTTCGTAGCAAAAACACAGGCAAACTTTAGAGCAATCAATCCCACATAGCCTAACTCAAAGGGCCCAAGTTCCAATGTATTCAGTAGGTTCTTTAAGTCTTATTCCGAGTAGATAGTTGTCTGCAGCCTATGCACACCCTAAACAGTAAAACGCCAACCCAAAACCCTAAAAGGCCCTAAACCCAAGCCCTAAACGGCCCTGAACCCTAAACTTTAAAGGGACCCTAAACCCTAAAACCTAAAGGGGCCCTAAACCCTAAAAGGACCCTACACCCTAAAAGCGACCGTAAACCCTAAAAAGGACCCTGAACCCAAAAAGGTTGCTGACCGACTTGGGCCATGAAGGGACCAAGCAAATCGATCCTCGGCTCAAAAGCCCTTCTTTGTTTCCCTAAGGATCCCTTCCAAGACCACCGGGAGGATCTAGAAAGTAGATCCTCTAATTTGGGGCCCTATACCATTAAGGGTACTTTATAGGAACCCTGTGTTAAAGGAGCCCTTATAGGCTCCCTTACTATAGAGGCTTAAATAATTGCCAGTACTATTTTGGTGGGTTCCTCAGTATAATTTGAAACGCTGCGCATCGTCCGCCTCGGCCCGGCTGTACGGGCATGCGGCGAGTGGCTACTATCTGCAGCAAGCTCTTGTAGGAAAAAAGTAACAGTTGGAATCGCACTTATAGTAAAAGTAATGTTCATAGCAACACGAAGCAGGATGATTGGTACGAATTTTGGTGTCGTCATTCCGAAACACTGGATACCAAGACTCTCGCAAGCGGCGGGATGCCTTAAGTATGGGCCGTTGAGGCTGTGGATTTCGTGGGCATCTTGGACTAGGGAAGTATCACAGCCTTTTCAACCACGTTACTCCGCCTATCCCAACGAAAGGGCATCTAAAACAAGCCTGAGACGCAAAGCCATCAATTCGATACCAACATCGGGCCCAAACAATGATTAAGACCCTGCTGGGGTTTTTTCGGAGCAGAGAAGGTGAGGTCACACTACATCGCGGCCTGCTGCAGTGCACATCATGTTACCCTAAAGCCCCAAAGTAGTTCCTTTTTGGGGTTCGTATAGCGCAGCGGATGGAGCTTGCTTAAAGAATCATGGGACTTAGTAACCAGAGTTAAATAGCCTACTTAGTAGTGCTGGTACGGGAAGGGCGGGGGGGGCGGGGGCGGGGGCGGGGGGCGGAGGGGGAGGGGGGCGGGGGGGGGATGGGAGGGCGGGGCAGCGAAAATGAGGAATTTGGGTGGGACTGTATTGTAACTATTAAGGCTCCTATACTATAGTTCCCTTAATTATGGTATCCCTTATAGTAACCCGTATAAACCCCTTTAAGGGAACCACACTCGAATGATTAAGGCCCCTATTTTACAGCCTAAACCCATTGTCATCATCCTCCTTCGGGTCTGAGAGACCTGAGTTCTATACTTGCACGATGTCCGTAGGCCCGAAGGCTCCATGTGACCATATAGTACATACTTAGGCCTTAAAGTACCTATATAGTGCATAGGGACCCCTGGAAGGCTTAAGTACCTACTAGAAAGGTACACGGAGCCTTTGGGATGGGAGGTGGGGAAAATCCAGGAGAGTCTTCTGAAGGCCTTATCCCAACCACCGCCACGGCAGCCTACTTTTTACTGTGTCCAGGGTTTAGGGCTTTCCGGGTTTAGGGGTTTAGGGTTTAGGGTCCACCTCGTTTCGGCTTCAGCATCCTTTTAATGAAGGCCTGAGCAACCTACTACATTTGTGCAGTGTCCAGAGTTTAGGGTTTAGGGTCCCAGCCCTTCTGGCCCAGGCGCCTTCCAGAGGCAGGGCGGAGCGGGCAAAGTCCTGGGGGTTAGGTGTCGCCATGTTCCTTGAGCCTCTTTGGGCGTTGAAGTGTGAAACAGTTTCTTTGGTCGCGCTGGTGGGTCCGGACAAAGCTGTTGTACTCCCTTCAGGGCAAGCCATCCTGGTGGATCAGGTCAGAACTGTCGTTCCGAAGCTGGTGCTATTCGTAGGCTTGCGAGCAGCCTACGGAGGCCCCATCTGGTGTGGCATGCAAAAGGGGAGCAGGATGCAAGCCATTGTGGAGCAGGCGGGCCGCAAGTATGCTGATGTCGCATTAGCTAGTTGGTGGCCGCAAGGGTCCTTAGCTGGGTTGGTTGAATTAGGGTTACGTAGCACACTTGTGCCAACTGATGTTTTGCAGCGTGTCGCTGGCGCACCCATCGGACCAGCCACACGTGATCCACTTCTCCACGCACAAGCGGCTGAGCTAGCCCTTTCGGTGGCCCAGCGAGTGCCACATGCAGGCATATTTGCAGGTGATTTCTCGGGAGCCACTTGTGTGGCTTTGTCAGTACCTGGTGGCCATGGCTCCCTGCGGGAACCTGCGGCTATCTTGTTGGTCGCTCTGCTTCGTGGGGCCTTTCTGGCCCAGCTGCCGGTGATTGTACTGACAAGTGATCTTGCAACCAGTGAGCTTGATGAGGTGAGGGTCAGCATTGGTTCTTTTGTGGCCCAGACTGGGTATTGTCTGAGTGAGCAGAGCCTTAAGGCTGATGTGTGGAACGCCCCTAGCAGGGCGCGGCACTGGATCGTGCTCACCGCCCCCGCCCTAGGATTCGTTTCGCTGAGGCCGTGGCCTGAGCACTTCCTGTCTGAAGCATCCTCGTCTGAGCACCATAGTGCAGCTGCTGAAGCCGATCGGGCACAGATCCTCTGGGTCTTTGGTCAGGTTTGCGCTCGTCTTCAGGATTTGGGCATTCTTGAGTGGGAAGAGGCTTGCAGTGCTGGATTCCGTCGGATTGAGGCCATGCAGCCCCCGGGAGCCACAGAGCTTCAGAGCCATGCCCATGGTGCGGGCCACCTGCCTGTTCATGCACACTCACAGACTGCGCCGAACACAGCCTGGGCTGCAACCCCCTGTGTCAGGGCCCCAGGCTGTGAACAAGAATGTGAGGATACAATTGCCTCAGCTGTGGATGGCCCTGTTGAAGTGGCCTCCCACGCCCGTGGGCCTGCCCTTCCCGCAGTGACTGAGCCTGCTGCCAGTCAATCCCCCGACCATAAGCGATGCAAGATCGTGCGAGAAATTGGGCCGTGGCATAAGCATGTATGTGTGGCTGAGGCTGCTGCCTTGCATGAGGTAGTGACGGCCCTCCCTGTTTCCTGGGCTACGCCGGGCGCCTCTCCCAATCCGGAGATGACGGTTCTTCTTGGTGGGGTCCTGCCTACAGGTGACATTTTGCACCCCTGTGATTGGCTCGCAAGTGGTGTAGACTTCTTTGTGGTCGCGTGCGGGCCTTATCCTGTGAATGTTGCCCGGGGCTGGCCAAAAGTTGTGCTGGCCCGTGACCTGGGGCAGAATCCGGGGCTAGTGCCGACATCAGCACGAGTGGAAGCGTTGGGGTGGCAAGCCCACTGGCTGGCGGATGACCAGATGCGTTTCTTGCTTGACTGGGCCATTGCTGGGCTCCCGGGCTCCACGCTAATCTTGGACCCACTCATTGCCAGTGCAGCGTGCCACCTAGCCAAATGCGAGCTGCTCTCTCAACTGATTGCGTCTGTTGATCAGTGGCAGGCGGTGGCCACGGCAGTTTGGGTTGATGGTCACTGGGTTGCCTTTGCTTGGCGGCGCCAAGGACCCTTCATTGATGCTTGGTCGAGTGTGCCGATGCAAGAACAGGGAACGGCAGCAAATGTTGTTGCTGAGATGTGTTGCCTCTTTGCCAGAGCCACGGGTTTCAAGGTGTCGTCCTTCCGCTTTGAGGGTGGGCCTCGTCGGCCTGGTATTCCAGGCTTCTGTGGCCACTATGCCATTGCTGATCTGCATCAGTACTTACGGACCCTGCCCTATGGCTCGTCTCAGGAGGCAATCAAGCTTGTGACCCAGGGTCTTGAGGTGTTTGGGGACTCCATTGCCGGTGTGCCGGAGGTCCGTTTCCCGGTGCTCATCGGAGGCAGCCCGCAGGCCTTGCTGGAAACCGGACTTTCTGCCCTTCTGAAGGAGCGTGGGGTGCCTGATGCCATGATCTTTTCGCGTGTCAAGGAGGCAATCCAGCGTGTTGGACAGGGCCCGCTGCAGGCTGCCATGCAATCACCAAAGCAGTGGCCGGAACTTAAGGCTGTGTGTAGTAACTGTACACCGCCATTCCAGCTTGTGCTACCCTCGGAGCTCCGGGGCCTCATTGAGGCCAAAGCCAGGAGTGGTGAGCCTCTGGGCCCAAAGCGCAAGCAGCGTGGGGCAAACCAGGCCTCTTCCACAGTGCCGAAACCGGTGGTGCCGCAGCCGCACCAAATCACTATCCCAGAAGGTGAGTTCGAGTGTGATGGACGTGACATGCCCCAGCTGAGCATCCAGGAAGTGGGCCCAACCGCCACTGGAATTGTCCCGCTGTCGATGGAGGAGGCTCGGGCCTATCTTAACTTGACGAAGCCTGTGTCGAACAAGGGGTTGGGGCTTCTGGTTTTCGGTTCCCTTGATCTTTCTGCCGCCACGGTTAAGCATAGTGTGGTTCGCTTCCAAGCGAGGTGTGCCGCGACTGAGGGACCGATGCTCCTAAGTGCCACACTGCTGCAGATTGGCGACCAGTATGTTGCTAAGAAAGCCCCTAAGAAGCTTGAAGTCCTTGAGCTGGCCCCGTCTGCCGTTGTTCGAGTTGCCATCTACAAAGATGAATGGGTTGGCCCTTGGTCTTTGGTCACCCAGAAGCCCATTCGGGCCCTCCTTGAGGTGTGTGACCGCCTCCAGACGTGCAAGCAGCTGGGATGTAGGTGCCGAGCCTGGCATGGTTCTTCAACTGCAGGGGAGCCTGAGGCTTTGTTGGAAGTTTGGGGTCGCACATTCGTCAATGATGCCTTCAAGGCAGCCGTGCCTGAGCATGCCACTTTGTTCAATGCTTTCCTTCGCGTGCCTGCTGGCCTCTTGCTGACGCTGCTAGCCTTCTCGGGTGAAGCTGGCGTGTACTTTGAGCCTCGTGGAGCTGAGGCTCGCTTGCACTCCACGGAACATGTTGTGACGTGGCTGCCGAAGGCCACTCGCCAGGAAGCCCTTCTGATCAAACAGACTCATGATCAAGTACTGGGCCTTGCCGGGGTGGGGGGGCGCTTTGGGGTTCGAAGCTCTGCAGCCGATGCGGAAGCGTTGCACAAGTTGCTTAAGCCGGGCTCCGCCTTCTTCAAGACAGATGGGGCCAGGGTCTTTCATGCAGGGCCGTGGCCGTATGGCAGTCAGCGTGGTGCTATCGCCAAGGCCCTCTTGGCCTGGGGCTGGAATGCCCGCCCACTTCAGCCAATCCCGCGCCCTTCAGGCGAAGGCCAATGGTGGTCTGTTCAGGCTGTCAACGACCCGCCGGCAGCGGTTCTTCATCTTCAGCAGGGTGATGTCCTAGTTTCGGCGGTCAAAGAAAAGGTGGAAACCAAAGGCGCCAAGGCTGATGTGGTTATTGCACCAAAGGCTGTTCTGCGTGCTGTTGCCGATGTTGACAAGGCAATTGACCCGCTGCAGGTGAATGATCCATGGGCTCAGGCAGCCTTTGCGAAGCCTGCCACGCAGTTAGCCTCTTCATCTTCCAGCACACCGCCCATGGACCTTCAGGCACTTTCACGCTCCCTGGAGGCCAAGCTAACTGCGCAGGTCAAGGTTCAGGTTGCTGAGGCGAGCCAGACAATGTGCACCAGGGTCCAGGCTGTTGAGGCCACGGTCGCCCAAGTTTCCAAGAAGGTTGACCAACAGGAGCAGAGCTTGAGGGACACATTTGAGGCTCTCTTCAAAGAGCAGACCTTGCGACTTGAGGAGCTGTTGGCCCCGAAGCGCCAAAGGCAGGAGTGACGGTGTTGGAGGCGCCAATTGGTTGCCTGGGGTGGGATTGGATCCTTCCCTATGGGGAGTGTACGTTTTGGCCTTGGAGGGGTACCAAGGTCCTTGGCTTGTACTTCTGGCGCTTTTGGCCCTTGTGGCTTTGCGCGGCCGAACATCGGCTTTGGGGATGGTGCCCATTCCGGGGGATGTGGATTTGCGGCATCAGGTTCTTTTCCTGACCAGTGCCTGGTCATCATGAGCTGTCTCAAGGGGGGAGCCTGCAATGCCAGCCACCTTGGACTTTTGGCTCTTTTATTTTCGTTCCGATACGGGGAGGCCTCCCATCCAGGACCTGGCAGAAGCCGTGAACCTGCCGGTGAGGCTGATACTTTCATTTTGGGTGCCTTCAATCCCACGGGTCTGAATGGCAAGCACGGGGTGGTGGCCACGATGCCACCGGGGATCTACGCAGTTTCGGAGTCCCATTTGACGACTTCAGGTACTGCCTCTTTTCGGGCTGGCCTCCATTTTGCTAAGGCCCCCTTTCGGTTCTCTGCGGGCCCGCCGGCGCCTCCTAGGGCCCGAAGCCCTGTCACCGGCGACTACACAGGCGTCGGATTCCTCACTTCATACCCGAGTCGCGCCGCGCCTTGCGATTTCCAACCTGAGTTGATCGCTACGGCAAGGCTGCATGTTGCTTCTTTTCTGGTCGGCACGGTGTGGCTTCTTGGTGCCGTGATCTATGGGCTGCCGGTTGCCCCTGCGGCGACTGACTCGCTGCTTCGTGCCGCTACTGAGCGGGTGGTTCTCCAGGGCCATGGCCCCAGGTTCCTGGCAGGGGATTTCAACCTCACTCCGGAGGCCTTGAAGCTGGCACCTTTGTGGGAGCAGCACGGATTCGTTGATGTGCAAGACCTTTGGTTTGCCTCCCGGGGCGTGCAACCTCGTGTGACTTGCAAATCTGCAACCAGAAAGGATTTTCTGTTCGTGTCTGCAGAGCTGCATCACCTGCTGTCTGATGTTGTGGTGGATGATACTTGGTACTGTGACCATGCGGTCATTTCGGCCTCTTTTCGCTTGAGCGGCCTGCGACAATCAGTCCCTCTGTGGCGGATGCCTCGGCAGCGCAGTCTGCCCCAGTCCCTCCAATTGCCTTTGCCGTCCTGCCTGATTCCAGGAGATGCCTGTCAAAACTCCTGTCCGGGTGACCCACACAAGGACCCTGATGCGGCCTACCTCGCTATCTGGCAGGCTTATGAGAGCACCCTCTCTCGTGCTTTGGTTGAGGCATCTGTTGCCCCCCTCGGCCCTTCGGAAAAAGGGCGGGCGGCGACCAAGGATACAGTTGTCAAGTGTCGACAGGCCCTCTCGGTCCCAGCTGGCCGACAAGGGGAGCTTCATCCAGGGTTTTTCGGGTCGGATAGGATTTATGTCCTTTGGTTTAGACAGCTTCGCCGGCTGCAGTCCTTGTGCCACGCATTGGCAAAAGGCGCCTCGACCGATGCGGCCGTGGAGCATCGGGCCAATCTTTGGCATGCAATTTGCACAGCCCCGGGCTTTCGGCCTTCTTTCGCAAAGTACTGGCCCAACAGAGCTGTACGGTCCCCTGAAGACCCGACTTGCATCCCTGAAGGGGTCCCTTCGGAGGCCACTGCCAGGCTGCTTTTTCGCACTCTTCAGGACAATGTCCGCAAGATGGAACAGGATCTGCGCAAAGCCCGATTGCGGAGCGCAAAGGCCCGGCGCTTGGAGGACCCCAAGCTCATTTTCCGTGATCTCAAGAAGTCAAAGGCCCTGCCGGTGGACACCATTGTCGAAGGGGCAGTTGCCCGGATTTCGGAGGTTGATCCCGAGGTTGGCGCTGTTGTTCTTGATGGCTCGCATAGCTGGCAGCCCACGGCAGGTTTCTACCTGAACAAGCAGCCGGTGACCGTTCACCATGCTGAGCCTGATATGTTGTGGGGTGCATTCCTGGAGGCCGCTCCTGGTGACACCGTCTCGCAAAAAATCCCGGTCGCGGACCTGCCTTCTCTTTTCAGGGCTTTTGGGGAGAACTGGTCTAAGTATTGGATGCGTTCTTCTGAGGTGGAGGCCGTTCAGTGGCGGCAACTCACGCAGCTTGATACTTGTCCTCCGCAACGGCCTTACTGTGCTATGGAGCTCACTGTGCCTCTCTGGCGGGCCACGGTTCGAGCCAAACATGCCTTTACAGCCGCGGGACCGGACGGTGTCTCCCGTTGTGATCTCCTTGCCTTGCCGGATGCCCTCACGGAGCAGCTTCTTGGGATCTATGGCCATGCGGAGGCCACGGGGGCCTGGCCTCACCAGATGCTTAATGCTGTCGTCACAGCTGTGGAGAAGACGGATGATGCTTCCCTAGTAGGGCACTACAGACCAATTTGTGTTTTGTCTCTCCCTTATAGGGTTTGGGCTTCCGTTCGTGCGCGCGAAGCGTTGGCACACCTGGCCACCTTTGCGCCGCACTCACTGCACGGCAACTTGCCGGGTCGTTCTGCGGGCGCCGTGTGGTGGCGATTGCAACTGGACATTGAAGAGTCGGCCCTGTTGGGATCGGCGCTCTCTGGCGCCTTTCTCGACTTGTCTAAGGCTTTCAACACCCTCCCGCGTACTCCGGTTTTCGCCCTGGCCATCCATTTTGGGGTCCCCAGTACCATAGTCAAAGCCTGGTCGGCGGCGGTGACAAAGTTGTCACGACGATTCCGTATCCGCCAAGCCACGGGCCCGGCTCTTCCGAGCTTCACTGGGTTCGCTGAGGGCGATCCCCTCTCATGCTTGGCTATGGCTCTCGTTGACCTGGCCCTCCATAGGCATGTCGCTGCGACCCAGAATGTGGCTGATCTCGAATCCTTCGTTGGTGACTGGCAGCTGACGGGCCCTTCACCGGAGAGTGTCCTTCGTGCAGTTGCTCTGGTGGAGGAGTTTACGAGGGCGTGGAAGTTGACACTTGATCCTACCAAAATGGTCGTTTGGTCCACCTCTCAGGCGGACCGGAGGGCACTGCGGCGAGCCGGCCAATCGGTGGTGCATTCTGCCCGTAGTCTGGGTGGCCATCATGCCTTCACTAAAGTCCGTACGAATGGTACTGTTCAAGCCAGAATCCAAGCTGTGGAGCCTTTATGGTGGCAGTTGAAGGCCTCCGCTGCCCCGCTCTACCAAAAGGTTCGTGCCCTCTCTGTTGCCGCGTGGCCGCGCGCACTGCATGGCGCCTCCAGCACCAACGTTTCGGATTCTGATCTGGGTCGATTGCGCTCTGGGGCCATTCGGGGCTTAGGCCTTGACCGCCCAGGGTTGAACCCTGATACCGTGCTGAGCCTGATTGAGTACCCACTTGCTGACCCCGCCTTTTATGTGCTGGATGTCACCTTTCGTGACATGCGTGCCTTTGGGCACCGTGACAGGATTGTGCCGATCATTGAACACCTTCTGACGGCACCTGACCGATGGGGGCCTGGCCCTGTCCAGGTTTTCCTTGAGCGATGCTTTTCGGTGGGGTTCACGTGGAATGTCCAGCAACAGTGTCTTGAGGATGCCATTTCAGCCTTTGACTTGTGGCTCGTTAGCCCGCAAGAGCTTCGCTTTCGCTTAGTGGTGGCCTGGCAAGCTAAGGTTGCTCTGAAGGTTGCTAGCCGGCCTGGCTTTGACGGGCTTGACCAGGTAGACACGCAGCGCACCAGGGCCCTGAAGAAGGACTGGAGCCCCGTGGACAAGCTGCATGCTCTCAATGCCCATGCTGGCACCTTCTTTACACAGGATGCCCTACGCCATTTTGGTTCTGGTGACGTCGAAACCGCCAGGTGCCGCTTCTGTGGTGCCATGGACAGTGTACGGCACCGGATCTGGCAGTGTGAATGCTTCAGCTCTGCTCGTGCCCCGGCGAGTGGCGCACCTTTGCCTGACCCTGGCCTTATCCCGGATGCTCAAGCATTGCGGGGATGGGTGTTGCGACCGCGTCGCCAGCTAGACCTCTGGAGATTGTTGACCCTCCTGCCTGATCAGACAAGGGATTTCGTTGTACCACCGCGTTTGGAGGACACAATGCAGCTGTTCACTGACGGCTCATGCCTGCTACCGGCTTGCCCCCAATTGCGTTTGGCGGCTTGGGCTGTGGTGTGTGTCAACGTGGAGGACGCCGCCAACCACGTCGTGGCTTCCGGCCCGGTTTGGGGCCTTATACAGACGGCGTTCCGTGGTGAGATCACGGCGGTTCTTTCGGCTCTGGCCTTCGTGGCCCATACTGGCGTACCGGCTTGCATCTGGAGTGACTGTGCAGGCGTCGTGAGGGTCGTCAACAGAATCCTGGCTGGCAGTTTTAGATGGCGCCCAACTATGCTCAATGCTGACCTTTGGCAGATGATTCTTGACCTTGTTTCGGAGATTCCGTCTGGCACCTGTGTTTGTAAAGTCTCAGCACATGTCGACTTGAGTCAAGCTCGTGACGTCTTGGAGGAGTGGGCGGCTCTGGGCAATGATGCTGCTGACAAGGCGGCAGCAAATGCCAACATTGTTCGAGACGAAGCTTTCTGGGATGTTTGGGAGGAGGTCCGAAGAGACTTCGTCCTCCAGGGGATCCACGGCGAGGCTGTTCTGAACCTCCACCGGGCGGTTGCTTTGGCGGCCACGTTGGATAGGCCCAGCTCTGTTACGCCTCCCGGCGAAGATGCTTGTCCTCCTGGGCGCATGGGCGCGGTCCCGGAGTGGTCTGGACCTGTGCCAAGGCATTTGGCGAAGTATGGGGACGATTATGTGAGGCGTCTCCACACTTGGCTAGCTGACCTCGTGCTGCTGGAAGAGAGGCCTGCTTGGGTTTCTTTTCCACAGCTCTATATGGCGTTCGTCTTTGAGACATCGGTGCTCCCGCCGGTGTTTGAAAGTCGACGGAAGAAGTGGCATCAGTGTGAGCTTGACGACGTGGAGTTCGTCGCGACTTCCTTTGGTCAACGCTGTAGGTACTTCAGGCAACAGGTGAAGTCGGTGATACATCATGTGCAAGGCCAGATCGCGGTGCAGGAGACACGACCACAGTCCGTTGCACTTGCTATCAAGCTACCATGTGCTTTTGTGCCACTCGGCGCTGAAACCAGCGCAAGGATCGAGAAGTGGCTGTTGGAGCAGCTTCCAAATGGAACTTGCGTCCAAAACGGGCGGGAATGGGCCACCCTTCCATTTCCTTGTGGGTGAACAACGCCCCTGTGACAGGCTGCCTTCTGCTTGCGCCGAGGGCGGACCGCCATCCGAAAGGTGCCGAAAGGGTTTAGGGTCCCCCTCGTTTCGGCTTCAGCATCCCTTTAATGAAGGCCTTCGGCAAAGGTTCCACGAGGCTAGAGCCCTTGCCGAGGAGTTTCCGGACTTCTTGGAAGGGGCGAGCCGCCTCCTCTGTGCCGTGTCTCGTATAGCGGTAACATGCTAAATGGGGGTTTCCGAAAATAGGGGACCCTAATATAGTACCCTATCCTTATTATAAGGACACCAAAATAAGGTACCCCTACTTTCGGAAAACCCCCCAATCATTATTTGTACTACATATAGCACGCTTCGACGCCCCTGTATATTCGCTCACTTGAGCGAAAGAGAATCAGGGTTCTTTAAGTATTGCGGCTTTACATGGAAATGTCAGACAACCAGTAAAAGAATTCCTACAGTACTCTTAAAAGGAACCCTAGTACAGTCTCCTTTGTAGTTCCTTTTAGGTTTTAGGGCTCTCAGTGTCCTGGTATGCCTGGGACCATAGACGCAACCTAAACCCTAAACCCAGTGTGCGGATCCTCAGGGTGCAGAGTGTGTGGTTTAGTGTTTCTCCGAACCCTATAATCAAAGGGGAAAAGGAGGGACCCTTCATGGGGACCCCTACCTTAATATTAATAAGGGCTATATAACGGGTATAGAAAAGCTAAGTTAAGGGTATATACCTAGGGGTCCTTATTAAGGGTCCCTCCTTTTACCCTTGGATATAAGGGACTGTTTAGGGTTTGGAGGGTTAGGGTTTCGGGTTAATTAGGTCCCCGGGTTTCGGATGGCGCTTATGCAGGTTACAGTAGTGTTTTGGAGAGTATATGCTCCCGTGGACCCACAGTGGAACCTCGCCGGTACTGTGGAAAAGCCGAGGAAGCTCAATCATACTGGTGGAGAGCAGACATGAACATGAGCATGGCGTAATGGATAAGGGGCTCCTTTTGAAGGTTATAGGTTTCTATGCAAGGGATCCTCGTTGGCTACAGCGCACACCCCGGGTACGCTCCTTACTTGCTTCAGTGCTTGTGTAGCTCTCTTTCTGAAACGGAGGCATCGACTCCGATTCAGAGCCCTTGAGCGCAGATCAGCTGGGGTCCCGGCACGAGCATGGAGATGTCCTGAAAGGATTCAGGGAATGTCGGGTTTAGCCTTTAGAGAGACCCTTCATATCAATTCCCACCTCAAAATAGGAGGACTGGTCGGTACCTTTTAGAGGGGGTCTGGGCTGTCTAGCCACTACTTAGGGGTACTTAGAAACAATTTTTAGTTTCGTTTTATTATAATCCCTTAGAAACAGCCAAAAGTTTGATTTTTGCTAGGGTTCTAAGTTCAGTATAGGCTAGCCATGCAGCAGTTTTTGCAAAGACTGTTCAGCGTGACTGTTCCAGGGATGGGATTGCGGCCGCAGTTCAAGATTCAAGACTACGGGATAACCCAGACATGCCAAAATCCCTTACTCAAGCAATATATACTTTAATTCATACTAGGGATCCTACTATAGGTTACTTGGAGGGTCGGAGGACGTAGTAACTAGTTACTTTAGAGACTTTTATGTACCATAGTAACCCCAATTAGGATCCCTCTCAGGGTACTTATAAGTCTACTTACTATCTACTTACTAAGTCCCCCGACCCTCCAAGTAAGGTCCTTAATTATAATTAAGGGATTTTGGAAGGTTAGGGCATGGGATCTGGGGTCTGGTTCAGCGCCCAACGCTTCGTGCACGACCATCATTCATTTCATCATGGGAACCCTTAGGCGTGTGGGGATAGGGGACTATACTTCCTTAAACAGGCATTATGAAGTCCTTCTTATAGGTATTCAGGCCCCCTACCCCCGTTACTATTAATTACAACTTCAGGGATATTCCTTAATTAATGTGCTTCTCGCGTGTCGCGTAAGGGACGTCCGGATGTTCCGTGAACCCAAGGGTCCAAAACAAATCTGCCTCTCTCTCCCTCTCCCTCTCCCTCTTTACCTTTCTCTTGCTTGCTGTCATTCCGATGCTCGCACATGTTGATTCTTAGGGCCATGTAGCATTCCCCCAGAGAGTGTATGCATTTGTGTAGTAAAGCTTGTACCTGTTTAAGGATAGCAGCATGCATCACTCAATGAGTGCAGTCGTGACAGGGGCAACACTTCGGAAACTGTTCTACATGCTCGTCTCCAAAAATGACCATGTGCAATCAATATGACCTTGCACGACCTGCCCAATATCTCAATGGCCTTACACACCTCCAGGATTAGCCGACGTCCGAGTACCGAGGCCTACCAAAGGAAACAGCAAAGAACAAAGCCATAGCCCGGAACAGAACTCACGATAGCTCAGTTCGAAAATACCTAGAGGGTCCATTGCCATATACACTATGCTACTGTTATGGAGCCATGCCTCCAAAAACAAAGCACGGATAGTCTTGTGGGATCTAATTCCTTATCGTAGTATATATGGACCCTTCGGGATAGCCTGTTGACTCCTTAACAAAGAAACCCTCGCAAGCGGAGGACGGAACCTACGGACCTAAATCCAAGCTCCCGAAACCCGAACGTCAACTGCCAAAACCCCAGAAACCTATTGAACCACCCTAAACCTGGCATCCCCGCGATTTCCCTAAACCCTAAACCCTGAACCCTAAATGCAGCGGGACAGAATTCATACATGAAGCCGAGAGCGGGACAAGGACTCGCCGCATCGTGACCGACCTCCTACCTGAGGACACCTCGCCACCAAGAAGGGTTTAGGGTTTGGGGTTTAGGGTTTAGGGTTTAGGGGTTTAGGGTTTAGGGTTTAGGGTTTAGGTTTTAGGGGTTTAGGGTTTAGGGTGTAGGGGTTTAGGGTTTAGGGGTTAAGGGTTTAGGGTTTAGGGTTCTGGGGTTTAGTGTTTTACAGGTAAGTCTCCCTGCGCTTGTACAACCCCGTTTGAGGCTTATGTATATATGTGTATACTACATGAGTGCATGGACACCGCTTTGGGGATGTATTCAAAACCCAAAACCCAATACCCCAAAACCCTCAACAACCCTAAACCCTAAACCCCTAAACCCTAAAACCCTAAGCCTCATGCTACATCCCAAAGCAGACAGGCCTCCAGAGTGGAGCCTTGTGAGGCTAAGTCCTAAGCTCCGTAACACCGTGGGTTATTGGGGTTTAAGGGTTTTGGGTGTATAGGGTTTAGGGGCTTAGGGTGTAGGGGTTTTGGGCGCATAGGGTTCAGGGTTGTAGGGTTTTAGGGGGCTTAGGGGTTCAGGGGTTTAGGGGTTTAGGGTTTAGGGTTGAATCTGAGCCCGCGAAAGCCTGACCTTAAGCTTTAAAGTCTGTGACAGATTCGACCATACTAGACCAACGACTTTGCTCCTCAAACTGCCCCAGATTAGTTAGTGCTCCATACCAGTGTAGAAGGGTGTATCTCGCTACAACACTAATCGAAAGGTGGTTTTGTTGTTGGTTCTGGTGTGTATGTGTGTGCGTGTGTGCGCGTGCTAGCTTCTCTTCAGGGTTGGCGTCAAAGCGCCCAGAAAAATTGAAAGCACACTTCTTGGGGCCCCAGGGATCCCCAGGGTGAGTTAGAGGATCCCCAATACCCAACCTTTAAACTTTTGGGGTTCTTATAGTCTTATAGTTTAGTAGGAATCGGAAAGGTTAACCTTTTGTTTCTGTGGTTTATTGGTAAGCTCAAAGGGTCCTATGTATTGTCACGGGGGGATACTTCCCTAAGTCATAATAGTAATTCCTAATATGGAACCCTACATTCTACTATATCGGTACATGGGAACCTTTGGGCAGATAATAAGATCCTCAGAAACCGTGAGGACGACGGCGAGCTGCACCTTCAGACGTCGCAATACGACAAGCGCTTTGCACCTTGGCTCTGTCAAACTATAGCTGAACCTAAGAGTTCAATAATGCAACTGGCAACTATCCAAAGGTCCATATACCCAAAATGTTATATCCTTTGGCCTTAAAGTAGTTTAGTGGTTTAGGGTTTAGTCAGTACCTACAGAGGCCCTTAATAGGGGCTAAACTTTACAATTACTATTTGGGTACGTGGACCCTTCTGAGTTGGGCCGTACTAGGCTGGCTACTGGGGCTCGGCTTCTATCGCTCGCCGGTTCGCCTATGTTTGTTCCTCCTTTTTTGGTGCACTTTACCCCGAGGGTCCAAGTACCCAATAATCATCTACTCTCCGAAATCCTAACCTACATATCTACTATCCTACAACCGAGTGCCTGATTATTGGGTCCTTTGGACCCTTGGGGTAATACCCTAGATAGTAGGACCCTTATTATAGGACCCCCAAATTAGGTACCCCTGCTTTTCGGATTCTCAACCCTTATAGAGCCCTTCAAAGGAACCCTTATAGGACCCTTTACACCTCCGTCCAAGAGCGTAGCCTTGGCAAAGGCCGACTCCCATGGCCTCCTCAACCGGAAAGCCATGCTAAACCCTCCCAAAGGGTCCTACGGTTGATGGACAAAAATCCTAGGCTTCCTTTAAAGGGATCTATGGGGCTGAGGGTTTAGGGCTGATGGACAAAATCCTGCATGACCCTAAGGACTCTAAACTATGGGAACTATGGTATATTCCTTATACTGGGTAATGCAGGATTTTGTCCATCAGCAGTATGTACTGTTATGGGTGATATACTTCCCTAAGTCATTGAGTCATAAGAGGTAATTCCTAATATAGAAACCCTACGTCATGGGACTTAGTAAGTAGGGTTAGAAGTACCCTAATTGGGGTTATAAGTAATTATAAGTATAGTTACCCTAATTATAACCCTAGTTACTAAGTCCCATGACCCTTTAAGCAGTCTTTCAAAGACAACCCATGAACCCAAAGAGCTCTTTACATGAAGGACGAGATGTTCCCTAAATGGGCTTCAGGTTCAACTACCATAATAGGGATCCGTAGTAGAAGGGCATAGGGTCCCTACTTTTAAGGGCCATTTGGTTTTCAGAGGTATAAGGTTCACTAATTGCGCAGGAGTTCGCGGTTAGCGTTAGGCCAGGCGGTCAGGCATCCCCTTTTACCAGGTTTTAATGTTTTTTTGGGGTGCCGCTTTTGCTTACAACAGTTTTTAAGATCGGGTTCAGGCTTTACGGCTGCAATCAGGGTGCAATCGTTTCAGACTTGGGTGTGCTCTGCCCCAAAACCCAATCCTGTGCAACCGCCTTGTCAGGCTCAAGAGCCTGATTCAGCCCTGAACCCTCAAGCCCGAAATCCTGAGCCCAAATCACCCAGTTCGAGAACCGTAACCGTAATTTTGTTGCTTTTGAAGCCAGCAAGGACGAAATCGTGAAGTTCATCCTCGATTGGGAGGCGGCATCAAAGCGGTCCAGGATTACCTGGACTACTACAAAAGATAACCACTGCATTCGAGGTCTAGGTCGGTTTTAGAGGTACTGTAGCAGCTGAAGGTTGTATTTAGGGGAGTGAGTCCTTATTAAATATTTGGGCCGGCAGATTCGGGACCGAGCTATTCGAAGTCTTAAGACACACGGCCTGCGAATTGGGCATAAAAAAGTTTGGGTTTATGCGCGCTTCAGGGCTTGGGGATAAAGGGTTTGGCTAGGGTTATAGGCTTTAGGGTAGACACTCAGATCATATGGGAGTTTCCGAAAATAGGGGAGCCCAATATAGTACCCTAAATAGTAGGATCCTTATGATAAGGACCCCCAAAATGGGTACCCTTAATTTTCGGAAACTCCCATATCGCGAAGCAATCCGTGCTGAAGACGCATGCACCAGTTCCAGGGGCTGCACAGCACCCAAGGGCTTCTTGTTATACTTCCGGGTTCCCCTTACTACACCGAGCTCCGCAACCGACAAGTTGTTGACCGTCGAAACCTCCTCTTCAAAAGTAAGTTAGACCTGATTTCTATCTTTAAGTAATGTCGTTTCCAGATTAAGATACCCCCCCAGATTAGACGGGGCCGTCCCGGGCATGTCATGGGCTTAATGAAGAAGTCCATTAGACCCCACCCTAATAGTACCGGAGCTCGCCTAAACCCCCCCCGATTAGACGGGGCCATCCCCGAAAATCCTCGAAGTAAGGATTTAGGGGATTTAGAGGCTTATGACTTAACCCTACTGTACTACTACTATACTACTGTTCTACTATTATACTACTGTAATACTACTATACTACTGTACTACTACTGTACTACTGTACTACTGTACTACTACTATACTACTGTAATACTACTATACTACTGTACTAGTACTATACTATTGTACTACTACTATACTACTGTACTCCTATTGTACGACTGCAATACTTTACTAAGTACTCTCTATCTACTTACTACTATACTTAATAATTCACCCCATCCCCACATAATCGGGGGGGGCCGGGAAAAACTTGAACCCATGAACAAGTTCAAGCGGGCTAACCTTGACAGCGGGGGGGGGGGGGAGGGGGGGGTTTGTTAATCTGGATCCAACATTAAACACCCCGATGTGTGAGGGCTGGAGCTCAGGGTCCCGCTTAGGCATAAGGGCATACGACGGTTGTGGGTTTCGGGTTAGTGTCAGTGTCATCTAAACACGGACGCCACTTGTCCTGGGTATTTCAACAGACCCGGGCCGCACCTCCGCCACTGCGAGGGAACCATGTATCGCTCGAGGTGCAGTTGGCCTCGTTGCAGTTCGACGACGCAGAAGCGAGAGACTCCAAAACCCCTCAATTAAGGAATATACCTTAAATCAGATTAGGGATCCGATTATAATTTAAGGTATATTCCTTAATCAAGGGGTTTCGGACTCTCCCGGATCTTCGTCCGGGCCGCAGCAAGCTAGTGGAATTGGTGGCGGGACAGGTGCGTTTCGGTGCTTGCGCCTTTTCAACGACCAACTGTTCCACTGTTTCTGGGAATCCGTTCTCTATCGCTTGGCAGCACACGAGGCGCCGGTCCCACTTGCCCTAAGGGTCCATGTACTCATATAGTATGTACATTGGCCTTAAAGTACTCCTTATATAGGTACATTGGACCCAAAATATTCTATATGGGTACATGGACCCTTAGGGTTGTGCAGCACTTGCAAGAGATCGTTCTGACGCTTTCGCCAGCTGTGGACGCGGAGTGGCGGGCCTGCGTGAGCTTGCTTTGCTTGGAGGGTCATGGGGGCTATAAGCACCCTAATTGGGGTTATAAGTAATTATAATAAGTATATAGTTACCTTGATTATAACCCTGGTTACTAAGTCCCATGATCCTTTACGTGCTGGGCTTAGAACCGGTCTTTGCAGTGCGTCTACGCCGCCGGATTCACGACCGGAACGCTGTCGCAGGCCATGGAAGCCAGCTTCAAACATCTGACCCTGGGCATCAAAATAACCCTATGGTCTTTGGGCCCAGAAACCTTTATATATGAGTCCTTAGATTCCTAGGGTGAAAGCCACACCGTCTGACAGTACTTGGAGGGTCAAGTAGCTGTTTTATAGACTACTTGTTCATATTCTGGTTTCACCATAACCATAACTAGGATCCGTGTTGCTGGTACTTAGAAGTCTACTTATATACTTATTACGGGCATGCTATGGCCCCCGACCCTACTCCTACTAGAAAAGCCCGAACAACAAACAAACAACTGAATTCAATAGCCACCAAGCAGCAGCCTATCCCTAAACCCTTGAATCCTAAAATGTGTAAAGCCCAAAGCCGTAAACCCCGAAACCCCTAAACCCTACACCCCGTAGCACACCGTAAGCACCCTCGACGCACTCCAACCTCAGCACCCAGCGAAACCGTAAGCCTGAAAGTTCAATCCCAAAGGGTCCTAGGTACTGTGATGGGGGATACTTCCTTAAATCATAATAATAAGTCTTAATCTAGAAACCCTACATCCTAATGTAAGGGTACTTTGGATCCTTTGGGAAAGCATCCACTCCATGAGGCAGAAGGCACCCCCTTGACGGAGAACGGACGATTGGGCAAAGTGCTCGAAGGCACTGCCTGTGTTGTTCCAGGGTTAAAGAATCCTGGGCTCTTTAAAGGGCTCCTTAAAGGGATCCCTAAAGGGTTCCTTAAAGGGATCTATAGGGTTTAGGGCCCAAGCAAGAATCCTAAACCCCAAACCCTAAGCAACATCAGGGTTTTCAGTTGCCAGGCTTGTGGGTGTGTGGGTGTGTGGGTGTGTGTCGTTTTGGCAATTTGGTTGAGCTGTGCAAGATGCCGCCAAGACCTATACCCATCTACGCCCGAGCTATGGCTATGCTGAGGGTTTAGAGTTTTGGACATTTTGCAGGATTTGGGCGAGCGTCCTGACTCCTCATATCAGACTCCGCCAAAAGGATACCACACCGGACACAACATAGTCGGATCCTTGATACAACGACCAGACAAGGGACCCCCAATATTCAGGCCTGATACAAAGCCCGTAGCTACACAAACCCAATGCAAAACAGCCCTACTGTTGATGGACAGAATCCTGCGTTACCCATTAACAGGAATATACCATAGTTCCCATAGTTTAGAGTTCTTAGGGTCATGCAGGATTTTGTCCATCGACTCTAAACCCTAAGCCCTATAGATCCCTTAAAGGAACCCCTATAAAGGTACCCCTATAGATCCCTTTAAAGGAACCCAGGGATTTTGTCTATCAGCAGTATGAATGACCAAACTTACGCCTAAACCCTACACCCTTAACCCTTAACCCTAAACCCTCAACCCTAAACCCCATACAAAACAGCCCTATCAATGACCAAACTTACGCCTCCTGCTTGTTCAGGCTCCTTCGCGGCGGCGAAAAACCAAGAAGTTCTGGACGCTCTTAGGCCCGGGTACTTGGAGGATCATGGGACTTAGTAAGTAGGGTTATAAGTACCCTAATTGGGGTTATAAGTATTTATAAGTATAGTTACCCTAATTATAACCCTTGTTTTTAAGTCCCATGACCCTTTAAGTAGAGTAAGAGTCATTTGCTCAAGATGGCTACGGGGTTCAGCGGATGAGCATCTACGATTTGATGGTCATCTAAGGGTTTAGGCATTAGGGTGAAGAGTTTAAGGTTTAATTAAGGTTCTGGATTTTGGGACTTATTTTGGTTTCCAGGCTAGGTGACCCGAAAGCAGTCCCAACGTCCTCTCAAAGCTGGTCGTTAACCCCACCGACATCGGGGCTGATTCTAAGCTTGGGAAGCTGCTAAGCCTTGCGATGAAGGTTGAGGGTTGTTTTTGTTGTTGTTGTTGTTGTTGTTGTTGTTGTGGGTCTTAGGGGGTTTTGTGGATATTTGTGTTTTATTGCTTTTGCGTTTGCGGTTTTGAGGTTTGGGAGTTTGGGGCGGCTTCGTTATCACGCTGGGGTCGATTCAGCAGACAGAACACAGCATCTTACACCCCAACCCCCATGCCATGGTGTGTTACATCTTTCTCATGGCCTCCTCTGGCCGTTTTTCTTAGTTTGCAGCAAACACCAAAAAGTTGGAAGCCTAGTTAAGGGCAAATAGTGCTGGGATTCCTATACTTTACTCTTAGGGATTGAGGCTATCGGGTTTCCAACTTTTTGGCTTCTACTGTAATGTAAACAGGGTTGATCGTTAAACATCATAGTTACTTTTGTTATGGTTCTGTCTACGGGGCTTACAGTAATTCATAGTCATGCCTCCCGCTTGAGGAGTTGGCTCTTGGAGTTCAGGGTCTAGCCTAGCTTTCGAAGGCTCCATGTACACTACTCTTGCTTTGGTGCTCTTTGGAATTCGGTTTGATCTTTATGGTCGTAGTAGCTGAATGGATACACTTTACACTTTCTGGGATAATATTACCCACTATAAAACTAAAACTGTACACTTTCGGTGGCTTAAGAACTCAGCAACTAAGTACAATCCAAAGGAATGATGCAACTTATCGGTTCAATTGTGATTCTCTATCGATCCCAGGGACCCGGTCCTTCAATGATCCGTTAATTAAGGAATAGTGCGGTTTAAAGATATTCGGAACCCTCATATGGTTTGAGGTATATTCCTCAACTACCTTAAACCCCGAAGAACCTACCTTTTCAAGGCTCAGGACTTGGGGGAAACCTAAAAGGTAGGTTCTCTGGGGTCCAGGTAAGGGATATTTGAAGGTCTGGCGACCTCATCCGAATGCGACAGCCTAGCAGGAAGTAGTGGTGGGGTATGCAACCTTTAACCTTTTTGGTGTACGAACCCTCTGGAATGCCAACGGAAAAACTTGTAGTTCCCCTAGGATAGTGGACAAGTCAGGCACCTAAAGCCCCATGTTTGAGCAATTATTTATACGTGGGCCTTCTGGGAGATAGTCTCAATAATGGCTTGCAAGGCCGACGTCGTTTCTTGTCAATTAGGGCATAGGAAGGCAGAGTATCGGTTCAAGCATGTGGGATTCTGGGCCTCGGCGTTCGGGTTTGGCTTTCGGGTGTGGGATGTAGGTTTCAGGATTGCGAATTTTGTTGTTTGGTGTTTGTTTGTTTTTTCGATGTAGGCGTTCTGATTGTGGGTTTAGGGTGTAGCATAGGGGCCTGAATAATTACCATTTGAGGGGTTTCCTTACTGTCTTTATACTATAATGGGCCCAAAACCTTGTTCTAAGTATTCCGTGTAGCCGAAAAGACCTACCTTTTTAGGGTTCCTTATTATGGTTTCTGTATATAGATCCTTAACAAGGTAGGTCTTTTCGGCTACAGGTAAGGCCTCCACATTAGGTGCCGTCATCCCCGAAACCTCGGTCCGCGCACACTCAACCCTGCACGAACATGGGCCATTGACTCGTACTGTTGATGATATAAACCTTGCAGTACCTTAAGGACCTTAAACTATGGGAATTATGGTATTACATTCCTTATTATGGGTAATGCAGTATTTACAACTATGGTACCCTTATAGACCCCTTATAGTAACCCTTATAGACACCTTTCAAGGAACCCTATATTCCTTAAGGGTAATGCAGGATGTATATCACTAACCGTACGAATCAACCTGGACCCAAAGCCCCAAGAGTTCGACCCCAAACCCTGCAGACCCTGCCATATTTCACCCTAGACCCTAAACCCTAATTCCACACCCGACACCCTAAGCCCTAACCCAAAGAGTCCTATAGGCATTGTTATGGTGAATACTTCCCCAAGTCAGAACAGTAATTCCTAATATAGAAACCTTACATTTTACTAAACAGGGATTTTTGGACCCGTTGGGTAACGAAAAAATTCTGAATCCGCTGTCTTCCCGCACCGTAGGTTTGTCTACAACGACATTGCACCTTTCCGTGCCCTGCCTTGCAGAATTAGGTGTTTCAGTAGTACACGTTTGTTTTGTTTTTTTTGTGGGGGGGGGGGGTCTCCTTCGCATTAAGCCAAACTTCGTAGGAACAAGGGTAACCTTATGAAGAGGCTCCTGGGGAACCGGAAAATTCAGGGCTTAAGGGAGGTGTGTCGACAGTGTAGGGTGGATGAATTCACGTATTCCAGATAAAGAGGTGTCGGCTTCTGGGGATGTGTGTGTTTGGGCTGTAGGCACCGTGAGGTTCTTGTGAATCAAGCTTCGAAGCGTACAGCAGATACGGCCATAAAACAAATCCAAGTAATCCACACGGTAGTTTCAGATCCAGGAATGAATCACTTACCCTCAGGGTCCAAGTACCTAATTATCATATACTCTCCAAAGTAGTAACCTACATAATTACTATCCTAAAACCGAGTACCTAATTATTGGGTCCTTTGGACCCTTAGGGTAATGTTGATCCGCTACCACAGCGAAACCCTGTAGCCTCATTGAGCTCGCGGAGATCGACTTCAGAAGTGGCCAGGAGCTTCTTGCTAGTGTCCTGATGTCTTACGGTATAAAATACCCCCAACCCCTATTCTGGTTGTTAAGGCCCCTACATTACCTTTAGTGTGCTTAGGAGTTGTTAAATTTTAGGTTTGAGCTCTCAAGGCATCGCCGGCGAGTTGATTTTCGGCATCGTCAGCAGATTTCTGCGAGCCCCGACAAAAGCATAGCCAGCGTCAGGCACTCAGGCAGCCTAGGGATTAGGGCTTGTAGGGTTTAGGGTTTAGGGCTCCTTTTAAACAAAGGAGCTATAAGGGTTCCTATAAGGGATCAATAAAGGGGGCTCAGGGTTCAGGATTCAGCGTTTGGGGTTTAGGGCTTAGGGTTTTGGGTGGGGGTTTAGTGTAGGTCTACATCTCTCTAAAATTTTGCTCTAGCTGAACATCCTCTGTCTACAGTATATGGGAGCTTGCGAAAATTAGGGGTACCTTATTTTGGGGTCCTTATAAAAAGGATCCTATTATTTAGGGTACTATATTAGGGTCCCCTATTTTCGGAAAGTCCCATATCTTAGGCTTCGCTGGCCGTGGCCAGGAGGCGATCGGTAGGAAAGGTGCCTGGCACGGGTTCAGGGTTTAGGGGATTTGGGATTGTTGTTAACTACCTTTACCGTTCAATACAGAGCCCTAATCATCAACAGTTTTGGGGACTATTGAAACATCGACATCTAATCATCTAGTCCAAGTATTACTGATATGTGACGGATCTGCAGTCAACTAAAACACTAAGCCAGGCTTGGGCTGGGTGGTTTAAGAACAGCCACATTACATTGGATCCACAACCCCAGACGTTTTCAGTCTCCCCGCCGCATAACACCCTGCTGTACTAGAGTGCGGTGTCCAAGCTCTTCCTGCAAGGCCTTGTCATGCAGACAGCAGCGGCATGAGGGGCATGATGTTACCAGTGCCGGTGAGAACGGACCTAGCACGCGCCCAAAGGGTCCTATGTACCGATAGATATAGTAGAATGTAGGGTTTCCATATCAGGATTTGCTATTATGACTACTAGGACCCAGAGTAGGCCCTTACTCCCTTTTTTAGGGTTTAGGTTCCCTTAAAGCCCCCTCTAAACCAAAAAGGGCACCCTTTTTATTCCTAGGTTACTCTTAGGTCTAGACTAGCCAACAGCACATAGGACCCTTTGGGGCGGAATTATGGCTTCAAGGGAGCTTTCATTGGGCTTATGTTGTCGTAGTTATACCTGCGATTATTTCAAAGGGGGAAAGGCGGGACCCTTAATGGGACCCCTACCCTATAATGGGCTCTATAATAATGGGTATATAATTACTATATGAAGGGTATATACCTAAGGGTCCTTATTAAGGGTCCCTCCTTTTACCCTTGGATTATTGGGTTTAGGACTTGTGGCGGCACTTCCATCAGAACCCAGAATCTCGGAGGGAATAGTCGAAGGATTAGACTCCCAGGCAGTTTCTTACAGGTTTCATGGTGGTGGTTTAGGGTTTATAGGGTTTAGGGTTGAGAGGGGACTGTTGTGGCGTGGGAAGATAAGCAGAAGATAAGCATAGGTTCCTTCTTCTTTGCTACCTCTGATGCAGCGGATCTCTGTGCCACCACACGCGACATGGAAAACTATGCGGATGCATGTGTACATATAACATGAAAAAACAACGCGGCAGATGCTCATGAGGCTTCCTCATACAGATGCTGAAGGCCGTTCTCTTTGAGAATAGCCTTGAGCTTCTTGCGCTCAGTCACGGTCTCTTCGTGCTTTTCTGCATCCCACTGGGCGCGAGCCACTACGCCTTCGAGGTCGTCGATCGTCTGGGCCATCACGAGCATCTTACGTTTGAGACTTGACCCACTGTCGCGGTCCCCGGAAATGGAGGAAGAAGCCGAAGACAGTTTAGGGCGACGTAGCCAAGTCTTAAGGGCCTCCTCAGCTTCATCGGACCAGCTATTCGACCCCAAACCCACGCTGCGCTTGATGTTAGCGATCTGGGTCTGTAGATTACGAACAGTCATAGCCGCTTTGGACGGATGTGCCGGGAGGCTTCCATCCTGCAGCTGCTGGTGCAACGTCTTAGCTGCCGGAGGTTCGCGGTCCGGGGTTGAGTCCGCAGCGCTCACACCCAAGTCCAGGGTGAACTTGCCACCGCCCTTGCGGGACATGTGGCCTGAAACGGACACCACCGAGTACGGCATCGCGAGTACGAAGAAAGCTACAACCTACAGAAAGGCTACGTGTGTCTGAGAGGCGGCTGAAGCGAGCATAGGTAAGACTGTGCATGTAGTCACGCTGCTCATCAGAAGCACGGCATGCAGCAACAGTGTTTCTTTTGCTGTCCCTGAGCAATAAGGTCGCGGCCTATTGTCGTCATCGCTTCAGGCGCTTCGCGCTGGGCCTCTTGTGAACACTGCGTGATCTGGCAGTCGTTCGTCGAGTCAGCACTCCGTGCTGCGCCCGACCATGGAGGTTAAAGAACTTGCATGCCTCCAGTACCCAAAATTTGTGACTGTGGGGTCGCAGGCTGTTCAGAAAAAAGTTCAGGGGGCGAATCCACGCATTAAAGATTTCCGCGGTGTTAGTACGCGTGTCGCGGGCACGGCGGTCTTCGGCCCTAGTGAGTTTTCTTTTACTGCAGGTATGATTCGGCCGGTGAAACTTGTCGATGATGTAGTATTTGACATCCTGGAAGCCAGATGCCTTGTGCTTCTTGATAAACTCCTGCGCATGAAGTTGTAGTAGACACAACAACTAGCAGAACCAGCAAAGCAAAAGCAATGTAAAGCAACGAAAGCAGGAAACGGACTCCTCCAAGTGGCAGGCATCATCATGGATAATGAGGTCAACCTTCATGTTTGGCATATCGAGGACGGCTTGCACGAGTCGAACTTTGTCGGACGACCGTTCATTTACGAGATGTTCGCAAGCCCCAAGAAGACGTTGAGAGGAAGGGTCCAAGACAAATTGCCATCCAGCAGTCCGATCGGGTAGCACCTGACGTACAGCGTCCTTCTGTTTGCAGGAGCATGTGCGTGTGAAATCACCAATGAGCTTGCGTGGCTTGCCTTTCAGTCTCACAGACCTGGGAGGGTCCACTCCTGAAAGCAGAGCACGATGAACTCCGAAGTTGCCGTCGCAGCAGACCGCGGTAACGGACGTGGGCGGCTCGAAGACATGGACGTGGGACGACGCACCGGACATGTTCACGATGGACTTCGCGGGGTACTCAAGGTTAAACTCTATGACCTTATCCGGCTCATTCTTGGCCACGGCGAAGCCCTCGAGGGCGTGCAGGAGATTATCGCGCAAGGAATGTTCTTGCCAAAACTGTAGCGGGTGGTGCGAATCTGCCAGGAGACGAACAGCGGCTTCTTGTCCAGGGGAGGTCTTGGCACGGAGTAGGCGGAGGTAGCACAGATGCAGGTACTTCATGGTGAAGCACGTCTTCTGGGTCACGAAGTAGACACCTGCTCTCTGCATCTGGTGAAAGGTCATACAGTTGATCTTCTGGCCACCCAACCAGACGAAGTTGTGACGAAGTGCACTACCACAGCTATTGCATCGTGAGGCCTGCGACCGCACCAGTGTAAGCGTTTCACTGTCAAGGCAAGTCGCCGATGCGAAGCTGTTCGTTGCCTTGGAGAAGTACAGATTACCAGAGCAGACGGGACATTTCCGACCCGGGTATTTGTACGTTCGTAGTTTGCTTGGGAGGAGCGGCATGGGAAGCGAGGTCGTTGACGAAAGCTGCAAGCCTGTATACTTGAGAAGCTCGCTACAGCACAGATATGAGGCACGTGCTGAGTGTACTCGACGAAAGCATGCATCATGAGCAAAGAGTCCATTGCGCAGCACCGAAAGATCTCAACAACAGCAAGAGATATAGCAGTGCAATGCATGACCTTTTTCTTGTGCGGCGAAGTCATGATGGGGTCTGCGTGCGTGCTCCAAAGCAGTTCTGCGAAGACAGATAAGTAGCATGCGAAACCATTACGGAGGATGGTAACAGCATGGATAGTTACGGTGATCACCACGAGCAACTGCAGGGAGCACCAAGAACATCGGAAAGCTACGCGGGTTGCAAAACTGAGCATCTAGCCCTAGCAAGTGCGCTTCAGTCCATGTGCATGCCCAAACCCAGCGGATCATTCTCTTCCTCCGACACCACGTCCATCTCCTCGGAGTCGTTTGCGAAATCTGGGTTGGGAACATGCACAAGCCTTGCCGGCTCAGAAGAACGGCGTGGCGGCGTGTCCAGGTCGATGACGGACTTGGAAGCTTTCAGCTCCGTGGCCCATGTCCTAGCCTTCTTGCTCACCGCTTCTGCGTGAGCCCCCGCTTGTTCCCTCTTGATGCGCCGGTGGAGAGGCTCCGATGAGGTAGGTTCGCGGCCGAACAGAGCCTCACGAACTTGCAAGCGTTTCTGATGGTCTGGACGGCGCTCCTGTTGGCGTTTCTCAACAAGTTTCGACACCCATTCCTGCTCCCGACGCACCTGGGCGTTGAAGTCGGGAGGTAGAAGACGACCACCATCCTTGAAGACACCGTACAAGGCTTTGCCCGCATCCGTCATATACTCCGCATTTGGAATTTCGATACGAGGAATGCGATCTTGATTGATGCCAGCCTTTCTGTAGTAGATGTGCGTGTCTGTGTTTACCACGAAGACGCTTCGCTTGAAGATTGCATTCATGTGGGCTTTGGTGATGTCAGGACCGAATGCAGGCTTGATGATATTGGAGAACTCCTCGTGGGGGACACTGGGCAAGAAGCTCTCTGTTTTGACCTTGTAGTCCTCATCGAAAGTATTGTCAGCGACGGCTCGAGGCTGATTCTGTACCCATTTCACAGCACCCCAGCGTGCCCATGACATGGCCTCATATAGACCCACGTCCAGCAAGGACTTCAACATCTTGTTTGAGAGCCACTTGATGGTCGTGTCGTCCAAGAAATCCCCCATGGCGACATGTCCCTGCTCACCACGAAGGAAATCGATTTCAGGGGTACATCTGATGCAAGGTTTTTGGCGACTGCTGAAGCGGATCTGATTGTGTCGCACCTGAGCCATCAAGACACTGCGCCCCAAAGGCGACTTCCCAGCTCCAGCTTCACCGAGAAGTACCAGGGCAGAGGTATCGAAATCCCACACCTTTTCGAAGATGTCCAGAACCCAAGTATGGTAGAAGGTGCTCGTGAATGGAATAGGCCACTCCTCAATCTTTTTAGCCAAGGCTCCGTCAGTAGCGAGATTGCGAAGGGCTTTCTCAACGAGACTGTTCGGCCAGTTGAAGATTGGAGAGCTTGTATTCTTGATTGCTTTCGTCATCCACCTCAACTGTTGCATTTCGCTAGAGGAACGAGGGCCTTCCGTGGCAATGTAGTCAAACCCCGCATCCACCTCCTCGTCCGTCTTGTCCTCAAAGCGGGTATTGGTATTCTTCGCGGCAGAGAAGGTTTGGAGGTCAAAGACTTTGAATTGATAGCACCCCAAGTTCTCAAGGGTGTATTGGAGGATCTTTTTGCCTACCTTGGGATTTGCCGCCCGCCATCTGTAGATGTGAGCCTTGCCGTATACGGAGGCCAAGAAGAAGCAGGCTTTGCACTTGCTGGCGAAGACGAAATGCTTGATGATGTAGTGTTTCTCATCCGAAGTGGGAACGATGAAGATCTGCAATTTGGTATCCTTTGGGACAGACTGTCGTGGACAAAACGGTGCGGGAAGAAGACTCAGGTCGAGGTTGAGTACGGCTAACTTGTACTTCGCTTCCAGGTCACGGAAGTCGATGGTTTCTGCGTGGCTAGGGATCACATCGAACACATGGATGGAGGGGTTATCCGAAGGACCCATCTCCTGAAGCGGAAGAGTCATTGGTGTGAAGATGCCTGCAGGCAAGTGCAGATTGCTGGAGACGTCACCGGCCTGCAGACCATAGGGTCTACCGTCTTCTGCAGGTCCTCATAAGACAAGTCCTCTGCCGCACGTGCCATGATGCAGAAAGCAGGACAGGAAAGTGCGGGAATGATACGCTTGATGAAGAAAGGTTGCTGCTAGGACAAGACATCAATGACAGATCTCACAATACAAACTTGGAGCAACGCAGCAACATGAGCATCATGAGCAAGTGCAAGAGACGTTTTGCTGGTGTCGCGGCGTGCATACATTGACGAACTTCTGCTGGGTGATACATCTAGGACGCGTGGCGGGAATCAGTGGCGTCGCCGTCGTGACAAGAACCACGAACTGCGAACCCTTCTAGAACACCAGATGCCAAGGAGGCAAGTGCGCTCGGCTGAGGCGCGTACCTGTGCAGAAGCGAAAAAAACCAAAAAAACCAAAAAAAAACAAATAACAAAAACCAAAAACAACAAAAGAACCGACCCCATATCACCGGGCGGCTCCGGAGGTATGGGGTTGGTTATTTTGTTTTTTTTGGTTTTTGTTTTTTTTGTTTTTTTTGTTTTGTTTTTTTTGGTTTTTTTGGTTTCTGAAATTACTCCATAAAACAGCAAGGCTTGTAACTTCTTACTTTGTTGTTGATCGTGCAGAACAATAGACAGACCTAGTTTTAGAGCACGGGCTTTGTTTTAGAACCGGTCTGGTGTAGCTAGTAAAGTAAGTCGCTTACTTCAAACGGGACTGTTGTGGCTGGTACTGCTACTCTTGAACCTGTAAAAACTCTTGAACCTGTAAAAACTGCTTATGTATACACGCCACAACAGTCCTTTCTGTTAGGGTTTAGGGTTCAGGTTTCAGGTTTCATGGTGGTGGCACCAGTTGGTTTGTTGAGCAAGGGTTCAGGATTTTGATTCAATACGGGGCGGCCAGTGCTTGGAATTTACGGCTTTATTTTCATGCTTAGGCAATGCGGTCATGTGCCAGGTCTGAAGCGACCTTCTTAGTGTTCAGGGTGGCGAGGTTCCGGCTTCCCGGTTGGAACCTGAGGCATTCAACAATTTAGGGCATACCTGTATGTTGCTGTTTAGAGTTTCTGGGTTTGTAGACGATGGTCTCTTCACGAACAAGCCTAAACCCCTAAATTCTAAACCCTAAACCCCCAACCCTAAACCCTAAACCCCTGAACCCCCCAACCCCTAATCCCTTAACCCCAAAACCCTGAACCACCCTGAGCTTCAAGACCCCGAGGCTCCACCGAGGCTCCAGAGCCCTGAGTACCAAAACCTTCCGATATCCCTCAATTGTCGAAAAATGTCTTAAATCATAAGTTAGGGATCCTAGTGTAAATTAGGGTAAGTATACTATATTGAAAAATTAATATCTTAAGTCACATTTAGGGCCTTTTAGGGATCCTAAGATTAAGGTTTTATTATTGGCAAGTTGAGGGGTTTTGGAAGGTCTGGCTGCCCAGTTACAGCAACACCGAGGTGTTGTCTTTGTCATAGTTGGGTGACATTTTACATTTTAATGGGTACTTAACCCAACAAGGAATAAACATGTACATTCTTAATCCTATCCCAACAATGAACTAGTTGTGCGGTTCAGGGCTTCAGGGTTCTCGAGCTTAGGGGATGTGAGGTCTCGGGGCTCCACGGTTCAATCTTTAGGGCATGTTAGGGTTTAAGGGCTTTGGGTATAGGGCTTAGGTTTGAGGGTTTTTTCGTTTAGGTTTGGGGGATTTAGCGGGTTAAAGTTGTGTGAACTCTGAGCTGCTGGGCGGAGTCTTGCTTTAAGGGCATTAAGAGTCAGTATAAGGTCCCTTTTCCTCATGATATCAGCAGAGGTGTGTGGGGTACCTGTGGTCTTCAGTACTCAATAGGCGCAGGCCACCGCACTGGTGTACAGGGCACTGAGACGTGCAGGTTGTACAGTCAAAACACAGGAAATTCCGAAGCGATTGTCTGACAAGCGATTTGGGGTTTCGGGTCAAGGGTTTCCTAAACCCTAAACCCTAAACCCTATAGTTCAAGTTTTAGCATGTACCACGTATCTTATAACCCGCACCTAATCCCAAAGGCGGTTTAACCTTTAGATTCCTTAAGATACTGGACAAGTACGCCTATAACGCCCGAACCTTGCAGGCAGCAACGCCCCTGAACATTAGCAGCTGTGTTAGCAAAGCTTCATACACCACATAAAATCCTGTTATCTATGATCGGTTGTTATAGGTTCTATATTGTCATGTTGTGGTATACCGTAATATACCACAACACCGTATTGAAATTAGTACGGCGCCTTAACCTATTGTACTCTTACTCCTGATCTCAGACCTTCTAGCGCTGCTCTTCAAGACAACCCGCTTGGATTCCTGGGACGCGGATTGCGTGGTTTTTCCCAAGAATAGCCGTCCTGCAGATGGACAAAAGCATGCTTTCTTGGGGCCTTCATCACCACAAGGAATTCACTTCGCTCAACAGAAGTCCCAGAATTTCTGACCCTACACCCTAAACTGGCATTTTGTCCATCAGCAGTCCGGCCAAGCTTGCAGGAGGCGTCCAAAGGACTTGTCCCAGCAGCTGTGGCCCATTTCTTCCTCAGTTGGCTCTGTCTCAAGATGTGGCCACTCTCATGCTGTAATACTAACTAGTAGTAGGCATAAGGTGCAGGGTTTAGGGTTCGGTTTTCCGCTGGTACTACAAATACCAAAACCCAAGCCCAAATGCAAGCCTGCAGCGCTGGACCATCAAACTTAAGCCCGAACCGTAAGCTCATAAATCGTACACACCAAACGCGGGAACCTTTACCGTTGTATGGAGGGTGCAAGCAGGCCAGCTGAACGCACATAAGAAATGCACGCACAGCGACACCGAAGCACCCGAGAGTCCCTAATTTTTTGGAAAGGTTCGACAGCAAAAGATTCAATAAGTCACGGAAGCATGCCTCATCGGCAACTGTCTCATAGGTCTTCGTCTTCTACGGTTTCGGATTTACGGGTATCTTGAGTTCTTCACTGTTCACTGTCTTGGGCAGCGGCCGTCCCAGATCCCTTAAACATAGGACCCTCTAAGACAAGGTGTTCTGGCAGCATTGCATGGCTTGGGATCGGCTTGTCTTAGGCATGCGACCCAATAGATCCTGCAACGGGCTCTTTCCTAAAACCTTAAACTCCTAAACCCTGAATCACAAACCCTAAAACCCCAAACTCTGATCCTTCACTGGGCTTTGGAGTACCAGACTTTAATACTTTTTTCTTAATTAAAGGGAGCCATTATGAAATAAAAGTTTATACTTTTTCTCCCGGGTTACTTAAAAGCCCACCTCAATGGGCCCTAGACCCTATAAACCCTAAAGCTTAAACCCTAAACCCTAAATAAAACCTAAACCTTAACCGTGGGGTGGCCACCGAAGCACAGCCAACACCTCAGTGCCCTTTCTCTGTCTTCCGCTGTTGGAGGGCCCAGAGGCTTCAAAGTGTTTAGAGTTAGGGGTTAGGGGTTAGGGTTTAAGGGTTTAGGGCCTCAGGGATTAGGGGCGTTGGGTTTATAGGGTTTTAGGGTTTAGAGTTTGGGGTTTTAGGGTTTGGGGTCTTGGGTTTAAGATTAGGAGTTTGGGGTTTTATGGTTTGGGGTCTGGGGTTTTAAGATTAGGAGTGGGGGGTTTTAAGGTTTGGGGTTTAGGGTGTAAGAGTTTAGGGTTTTAGGGAAATCAGCGCTACGACAATGATTAACTAATATGGTTTTAAGGCTCAGGGTTTTGGGGTTCGTTTGTAAGTAAATGGTACACTATACGGGTTACTACTCTTCCCGGGTTTGGGTCTACGGCTTTGGCTTTAATTAAGGTCCACCGCCGAGGATCTAGGGCTTAGGGGGCGGGCTCGTAGGGCGAGGGGTCGGGGGTTTAGGCCCCGGAAAGTGCTGCGGGTTCAGTTGTATGGAGCTTACGACACCACGCAGGGCTCCATTGGTTCTGGGGTGCATAGGCTTTAGGGGCTTTAAGGTTCCTTAGGTGTGAGGGTGTGTACTGCATGGATACCTGGACTTGTTGTGTTTGAAGTTGAGCATGCCTCAAGCGAGCGAACGCAATACAAGCAAATGCACGCAGGAAAAGGTGCGATCCAACCACGAGGCTGTGAGGACTTCATGTGTTGGTCTGCAGACTTGGGCTTGTCTGCAAGAACTGAACTGTAATTAGTGCGTCTAGTGGTCCCTGTCTTGCTTCGGTGCAAGTATTCAGGTCCCACGACTCTCAGTTGGATAGCAGACGATGATTGAAGGGCTTAGATGGGCGGTACCAGGTGACCATAAACCGAGTAACCAGCAGACAGTAGCTACCCCCACAACCTGCAAGCCTCATGAGCAATTGCAGGAATGCAGCTGACCCCTGCTACGTACCAAGTTCGTCCAAGCTTGAAGCCGCAGGTGTAGTACGTGGGACTGGGGCTATAGTAAACGTCTAAGATCCTGACTGTACAGTATAATATGTCACGCAGCTATAGACTATAGAGGTCAAGCTTCTCTAAGAGTCTCCAAATATATCATGATCGTGAATGCCTCAACACCTGTCACTGCGCAGCCCAGTATCAAATCTCTGTGACACTGATACACCCGACCTGCTTCAACAAGATGTGGCCGTCCTTACAAGCAACTTCATTGTCGCAGTTGTCATCACTCGTGATCATCCGTAGTAGCAGTTGTACGACAATTCGTCAAGCAACCCAAAATATGGCAAAATCAACCAGCAAGCAAATAGGCCTGTCAGTAGTTAGCACTTAAACATGTAGTAATTATAAGTGAGGGAGCAAGTAACCAGGTACTAGCTAGTAAAAAGTAAGCAAGCATGCAAATTAGGAAGTGAGACAGCAAAGCAGCAAGTAAGCAAGGACACAAGCAAGCAAGTATGTGAGTAAGGAAAAAAGCAGCAAGGAAGTAAGCAAGAAAGTAAGTAAGAACATATCCCCAGGAACCCTTGAAGGAACCCTTAAAGGCCCATAAAGGCTCCCTCAAAGGAACCCCTGGGACCCTACACAACGTGCCCCCCACGGAATCCGAGGCCAAATCGGAGGATCAGGTCCTCATCGAATCCCACGAGCAGTGCTCTCCCAAGGGCTTATAGACGAGCCCAATACAGTAGAAGCCTTTAAGGGATCTATAAGGGCTCCTTTAAGGAATCTATAAGGTACCATAAGGGTTTAGGGTTAAGGGTAGGATTACAGTAGAAGCCCAAAAGTTGGAAACCCCATAGCCTCAATCCTTAAGAGTATTGTATAGGGAATCCCAGCACTATTTGGCCTTAATCCGGTTTCCAACTTTATGGAGTTTACTGTAGACTAGGTAGGGCTTTGGGACATTTTATATTTGCTCTTATTGGGCCTAAGAGGATCTTACCTACTAATGTTTTTCAAAGGCTGTAAAAGCACCTCCTAGTAGAGGGTTTAGGGTTTCGCGGTTTCGGGTTTAGGCAGTTTAGGGTTACGCATTTTGAGGTTTAGGGGTTCAGGGGTTAAGCGCTTTGTGCGCTTTAGAGTTGAGGGATTTCGGGTTTAGGGTTGAGGGAGATCAGGGTTCAGGGTCAAGCATTTTGGGGTTCAGGGTCAAGGGTTTAGGGTTCAGGTTCTGCGCTCCCAGGGAAGATTCGCATTTGTTGTTTTTGCTGTTAATAAATCGGGTTTATATGGGTTAGGATTTCGAGAGTTTACGTTGTTGGGGTTTAGGGCTTCTAGAGTTAACGGTTTCGGGGTTTGCGGGTTTAGGGTGTGGGTGTTTTTTGGAGAGTTTAGGATTTGATTCGTTGTTTGTTGAGGCTTCAGTTGAGAGCTCCTTTAAGCGCTGCTACATAGGGTACTGTATAAGAGTGCCTAGAAGGGTTACTCTACTTGGAGGGCCGGGGTACTTTGTAAGTATATTTTCAGGAGTCTTGCAAATTGCATAATCCCAATTAGAACTTCGAACCCCTTTCAGGGTACTTATAAGACTGGTTACTACCTACTTACTCAGTCCCCGACCGTCCCAGCAGACCCCAAACCCCTATAAAGCCCTAAACCCTAAGGCCCTAAACCTAAAGGCCTAAAACCCCAAAGCCCAAAACCCTAAACCCATAAAGCCCTAAACCCTAAACCCCAAGGAGGGCACCTACTTTTTAAGATACCAGATCCTAACCACGAAACTAGGTATCCCCAAAAAGGGGGTAGGGTATGAGCCTCTAGGTAGCTATAGGATCCTAGCCATACCTCCAAAGGGTCCCATGTACCGATATAGTAGAATGTAGGGTTTCCATATCAGGAATTACTATTATGACTTCGGGAAGTATCCCCCATAACAGTACATACGGTTGATGAGAAAAAAATCCTGCATCACATTAACGATCCTAAACTATGGGAATCTTGGTATATTCCTTGTTATGGGTCATGCAGGGTTTATATCATCCGTAGGACCCTTTGGGTACTGCTCCTAATCCCCTTGGCCTATGGTCCTACAGCCCTGGCGCTTGTGTTCAGGGTCGAGGACCAAGGAGCAAAAGGAGAAAGTCCTTCCGATACCTCTTAATTAAGGAATATACCTTAAATTATAGAAGGATCTCGAAAATCAATTATTAATTGATATTAGGGATCCTTCTATAATTTAAGGTATATTCAATAATTAAAAAATTTCGGAAGGTCTGGGAAGCCAAGGACTTGCGCACAGTGGGAAAACTAGCTCTTCGACTGGAGCTCCTTCAGAGCCTTCGCGATTTCTCTATCCCTAAGTGTCCATGTACTCAGTATTCAATGATTCGATTAGTATATAAGTTTGCCCCTCAAGTACCTTTGTCGGGACTACTTGAAGGCCAGAGTATAATATATATATATATATATATACTTGGATCCCAAGTGGAGAGCTTGAAAGCTTTTTTTCTAGATGCCCCCTGGTGGCTCAAGTTCCAACATGTTTGCATGAGAAGCAGCTCCCCAAGAAAGTCATGTAAGAATAAAAACTAAGGCCCAAGTAAGACAAGCCCCCCCTCAAAGCCCCCGAGCTACCCGATGGTTTCGGAAGGTGCGCCCCCGCAAGTTTGCTAAAGGGGTTGGTTTTGGGTAAGTTAGGGTATTTTAATTCTGCCAGGTCAGACATGGTCCGTGATCTTTGTCGCCATTCCCATCCAGGCATCGTCAGGAGCTGAGTAAGACACCCTAACCTTAAGCCCTAAAGCCCTAAACCCCTAAACCCCTAAACCCTAAACCCCTCGTTTGCGTCGTTTTGCAGCTCGGTGAGCCATGGCCCCAACTTGCTGGGTGAGCCATGGCCCGAGCCTGCCGAGTGAGCCATTGGCCCCAGCTTTGCTGGGCGTGCCATTGGCCTCGGTTCCTGGCGTGCCATTGGCCCCAGCTCAGCCCAGGGTCTTTGATTGACTCGGGTGTGCCATTGGCCCCAGCAGTGCTGGGCGAGCCATTGGCCCCGGTCCGCCGGGTGAGCCATTGGCCCCAGCAGTGCTGGGTGAGCCATTGCCCCGGTCCGCAGGGTGCGCCATTGGCCCCAGTTCTGCTGGGTGAGCCAATGGCCCCGTGCTGCCGTGCCGTTGGCCCCAGCTTTGCTGGGCGAGCCATTGGCGCTGGTCGGGTGTGCCATTGGCCCCAGCTGTGCTGGGTGAGCCATTGTCCCCCATGCTGCGGGTGTGCCTTTTGGCCCCAGCTTTGCTGGGTAAGCCATTGGCCCCGCTGTTGGGTGTGCCATCGGCCCCAGCTTTGCTGGGTGAGCCGATGGCCCCAACAAGTGCTCGGGTGTGCCACTGGCCCCAGCTTTGCTGGGTGAGCCATTGGCCCCGCTGTTGGGCGTGCCATCGGCCCCAGCTTTGCTGGGTGGCCCCAACCAGTGCTCGGGTGTGCCACTGGCCCCAGCTTTGCTGGGTGAGCCCTTGGCCCCGTGCTGTCAGCCATTGGCCCCAGCTTTGCTGGGTGAGCCATTGGCCCCGGTCATTGGCCCCAGCAGTGCTGGGTGACCCCTTGGCCCCGGGTTTGCTGGGTGTGGCCACTGGCCCCATCGGGTGTGCCATTGGCCCCAGCTGTTCTGGGCACTGTCGGGTGAGCCATTGGCCCAGCTTTGCTGGTGAGCCATTGGCCCCGCCTTAACCCTAAGCCCAACCCCAAACCCTAACCCCTAGACCCTGAAACACTAAAACCCTAAAGTGGTAGTCAGACTCATTCTCGCCTAATTTAATTAATAATTAATTAATTTCGCGAAGGTCAGACAACATCGCTGGTCTCCTCGACGATGTGATGGCGCCGTGGAGGTGGAGGCTGGAGTTTGCACGCACCTTTCGGCCTGTGCTAGACTTGCTTGCAAGCTCCTTTGATCGTCTTGATGCTGCAGGCAGTTCGGACCATCAGCTAGTCAGTGTAAGACATCGGCGATGATTAGATTTCAGATTATGATTACAGTTACATGATGATGATCATTGATTCAGGAGTTTCATGACTCGTCTGACTGCGTGTGGGTTTGAGTGAGTCCTCTAGCTGTGTGTCAGACACATTTTTGGCCATGGTGCGCCAGCGCAAGCCCGAGCTCAAAGGGCTGCCGCACTTCAACACCAAGCGTCAGACTACGACGCCACTCCCGTCGGTGCCAGAGGAGGGCGCTCGTAAGACGACAGAATCGCCGACGGGCGCTGAGCCGAAGGACGACCCCATGGTTGGCATTGGTCAGACGGTTGGCATTGGTCAGACGAAGACGACGTCAAGGTCGCCGTCGAGGTCAAGGAGCCCCAGTCAGACGAATTACACTCCGACTGAGCCGGCTATGACGCCAACCTCGCCGGTGTCGTCACCGTTCGAGGAAAACCCCAGAGAGCGTCTGACAGTGATCGAGCCACGTCTGACGTTCAAGGCCGCGGCAAAGTCAGAGAGCGTGGCATCGGGATCGAAGGCAGCGGCGTCAGATCCAAGGGCCAGGGGCATTGATGCGGACCTGGTGTCAGACTCACCAATGCCAACCCCGGCAAAGGCCAAGCCGAAGACCCCCAGTGGGCCGTCAGACCACAAGGTCCAGGCCCCGGGTGCGAATAAGAAGAACCAGAACAGACGGTGGAAGGTCAAGCCGACCACTGCTGTCAGACGATGGTCAGCAGAACCATGGACATGGAGGCAGGGAGCAGCCCTCGTGACACTCTTTGTTATTTCGCTTTGGCGGGCACAAGACGAGGACGTTGTGGAGAATCCTTGTCTCAAGGTTTTGGATCAAACAACTTCTCAGTAGCTGCCGCAGGTCAGGTGTCAAGTATACTGCGCGCTGTCATTTTAATCAATGAAGCATGTCGCATTGACTTCGCCAGACAGACGAATCCTGAATCTCAGCGTGGCAACTAGTTAGCCGTCGTGGACTTTCTGATTCTGTGCTGTGGGAGTCTGTGACTGCCAGCTATGGTCAGAAGCAAGGTGGTCAAGCTTCCAACCCATTAGGTTGGTTGTGGCACACCTCGTCGAAGAACTAATCCCTTCCCCCTAACCTTACACCCCCCTAGTGTAAAAACTCCCGGGCCCCAGAATTTCGCGATTTCGGGCCCACAATTGAAAGTTAATTAAACACATGAGTGGGGGCTAGGATTGTATGAATTTTAATGGACCCCAAGATTACAGCTGTACTAAAGAGACCAGAGCTTTAGGGTTTACGGGTTTAGGGCTCAAGGCTAAAGCTTTAAAGGCTTGTCGCTTTTTAGGAGTGCCAAGCGCAGCCGACTGTCTTTCTGTACAGCTGGAAAATATGTGAAGCGCGCGTAGGCGCAGTAGTCAAGCGATCGCCGAAGAGCTGGTTTTTCTGTATCATTTGTTTGAAACCCAAGAAATCCCTCCTATGGTCCTTAAACTCGGCGGAGTGGTCTAGGTAGTGGTTCAGGTACTCTTTCGCGTGGGCTGGTACTAGTTCGGACCAATATCTGGAGGGGTGACCTCTGTGACGTGATTTGGTAAACTTAATGCGATCTTTGTATCCCGGAGAGAATACCACGTGGTGCATTGGGGGGTTTGGCGGAGTGGTCGTGGCTTGTATCAGGAGTTTGAACTGTCGGGATAGAAGTGTTTGCGAGTGAAGGGGGGGTTTGCCTGCAGCAGCCCATACAGATTTGTTGGAGATTCTGGAGTAGTATGATGCCTTTATGTTGATAGCTCGTCTGAGGTATCTGAAGTACCACCCGTCTATGGTTCTGAAGTGGTGTTTTTCCAGGGTGAGGGTTTCGAGGGCGTAGGTGTAAACCGGGACGATGCAGGCGTGGAAGATTCTAGATCTCACTGCACGGGGTATTCTACTTTTCCATACATGTTGTAGCTTAAGGAAGGCGGCGTGGGCTTTGGATCTGGCCGTGATGGCAGTTTTGGTAGGCTTATCCCAGGTAACTTGGGGACCAAGGTACTTAGTTTCAGTGTTATGGGGTACCTGAAAATTGTCTGCGTAGTGGAGATGTCCTGGTTGGGTAGGGTGGCGGAGTAGCTGGGTTTTCTCTAAGTTAAGTTGTAGTCCATACAGCGTGGCCTCTACCTGTACGTGTTTTAGAATCTCTTCTAGCTGAGAACTCGTGACGCCCATTAGAAGTGTATCATCAGCGTATTCTTTGTCGTAAACTGGCTTACCTATGGACCAGGTGTTTGAGGAACGCCATGTGTTCTGAGCCTAGCGTCTACATCAGATAAAAGTATTGCCATCACCATGATGAATAAGTAGGTGGGCGTCCCTGGCGAATTCCTGTATGCGGAGTAGCCCAGTACCTTGTGCCATCGGGGGCGGAAGTACAGAAGGTAGGGCATGTGTACATATCCCTAATGACTTCGAGATATACAGGGTGAACCCCCCGGCGGAGTAGTGCGATATGCATGGATTCGTGATCGATCTTGTCGAATGCTTGTTTCCAGTCTAAGAACAATAACTGAAAGCTTCTCGCTTTAGGGCTCAAAGTTTAGGGCTCAGGGCTTTAGGGTTTGGGGCTCGAGGTTTAGGGCTTAGGGCCTAACTCCCATTCATACGTGGATGCACCGAAACCCCCTCTAATATTAAAACAAAATCCCGGAAATCAGTTTTTATGTTAGGGAGGGGGGGGACGGGCGTTTAATATTAGGGGGAAGGGATTACCCAGCCAAGCCGCCAAAGTGAGACTCCAGGAAGCGATCAGTGTCAGAAAAACAAGACGCCAATCAAGCCATGCAGCAACCACGAGACTGCAGAAGACGAGTCAGACGGTGTAAGTGCTCACATGAACGTCGATGCTCTTGTTGGCGGAAAGAGTGTCAGACAGCCTGTGACACGGAGTCAGACTGGCACAGGGAGTCAGAGTCAGACTGGCAGCAAATCCCCATCCGTGAAGACGAAGCAGTAGCCGGGAACGAAGAGTCACAGAAACAGTTTGGATGATCGCATTATCCGTCAGAAACGTTTCCTCATGTCAGTGACGGCCATAAGCAGAGTCGTCAGAGAACTGTTGCACACGATGAAGCCGGAAGATTGGCGAATCGCTCCCGCTGCTATCAAACAACTGCACGAGGCGTCAGAGCTTTACATCGACTCCGTGTTTGTCACAGCGGCAGCATTCCAGAGGAAGTGTGCCTTGCAAGCGAAGTAAAAGTCAGACACGCTTCGTAGATTTCACATGGAGCTCGCCCTGATGTGAGTGAAAGGCTGACGCTGAGTCTGACCATCAGTGCTCCAATTTCAATTTTGTCAGACCTTCCGGTCCACGGTCTTCTTCAAGAAATGTTGCGGGAGGCATGCTGGCAGAAGCAAGTCGGCAAGAGTATAAATGCACAGATTTTGGATGGTCAGACCGTTATCGTGTGCGATGAAAATGATTGCGTGGGACACAAGTTGGGCCTTCTGATTCCGAAAGGCCAACTAGCGTCCTCAGCACGCTGCGGACACTAGTTGGGCCTCTTAAACCCCCTCCCAGACCATTGCGACCCTGGACACACTTTGCCATGTTGGGACATTTGGCCCTGCGGAGGCCCAACTAGCGTCCTCAGCACGCTGCGGACACAAGTTGGGGCGCCTGACGCCGGAGGCCTAACTAGCGTCCCGTCGTTTGGTGTTGCATCTTAATCTGACAATGACATGCTTTTGGGAACTTGTGCTTTTGTCACAGGTGCCTACAGGAACATATGGCGGACTTGGGTCGGACAACCAGGACTGGCTTTGCAGTCTTTAGCTTGCGTGTAGGACCATTTACGGTTCACGAACTCACGGGGCATTGAGTTTGCTGCTGCAGCTGTCAGATTGACGATCAAGCCATCCCGTTTGTCAGGCCCAGACCCCATGGCTCGTACGAAGCCGAGGGCAGCTGAGCCGAAGAAGGCAGCACAGGCCAAGGCAGCCTAGGCGAAGCCGGCTGCCCGTGAGACACCTGAGCAGCCGGAACCTCGTCAGACACCGTCTCAGAAAGCGGCGGTGACGGTGTCAAGCATGAACAACCCGCCAGTGCACAATCACAGGCGTGTGGCGTTAGAGACATCCTGGCACCTCTTCTGGATTATGACCCTAAACCCTAAACCTTAAAAATACCAAACCCCAAACCACGACACCACTCTCATTAGTTTGTTGGGCAAACGGACAGCCCCACAGACACTAACTGGTCAAACCAGAGTCTTTGGGGCTGTCCGTTTGCACAAAAGAAACCAAAACTCTCCACGCAGCAAACCCTAAACCCCAAAAACACCAAACGGAGAGCTCCAGAGACACTGGTTTGCCCACCCAGTGTCTCTGGCACTGTCCGTTTGACCAAAAATGCAGGCCAGCACTACAGAAATGCAAACGGACAGTGCCAGAGACACTGGTTGGATGAACTAGTGTCTCTGGCACTGTCCGTTTGCACAAAAGAAACCAAAACTCTCCACCCAGCAAACCCTAAACCCCAAAAACACCAAATGGACAGCTCCAGAGACACTGGTTTGCCCACCCAGTGTCTCTGGCACTGTCCGTTTGCCAAAAATGCAGACCAGCGCCCCAGAAATGCAAACGGACAGTGCCAGAGACACTGGTTGGGAGAACTAGTGTCTCTGGCACCGTCCGCTTGCACAAAAG